CATCCTCTTCTCTTCTCATCCTCTTCTCATCCTCTTCTCATCCTCTTCTCTTCTCATCCTCTTCTCATCCTCTTCTCATCCTCTTCTCTTCTCATCCTCTTCTCATCCTCTTCTCATCCTCTTCTCTTCTCATCCTCTTCTCATCCTCTCTCATCCTTCTCTTCTCATCCTCTTCTCATCCTCTTCTCATCCTCTTCTCTTCTCATCCTCTTCTCATCCTCTTCTCATCCTCTTCTCTTCTCATCCTCTTCTCTTCTCATCCTCTTCTCATCCCCCTCTCGTGCACCCTCCATGCCACCTTTCCCCATTCCCACCCCTCCCCCACCACCAGAGATCTCTCTTTCAACGCTCTCACAGGCCCCGTGCTCCCTCGCTGGCTAACTGTAGCTCTCAGCTATGTTGAATTCACTTCTGAGAATTCTCAAAAGCGATTCCCCCATATGGACCCCCGTCCCCCCACCCCACTCCCCTTCCCCCCACCAGAGATCTCTCTTTCAACGCTCTCACAGGCCCCGTGCCGCCCTCTCTGTCCACCTGTGGCTCTCTGTACACGCTGTAAGCTATGTACCCTATATAAGCAGCTCCACTTTTGCTTGTAAGGGATATCTCCTTCAACGCTCTCACACGCCCCTGCCGCCCTCGCTGCCAAACTGTGGATCTCTGTACACGCTATAGGCTGCCCCTGTATACCATGTAAGTGAATTCTAAAAAATGTAAGCTATGGTCCTGTAAACGCTCTCAGTGCATGTCATGCTTTTTTCCTAGTCCTACGAAGCAACCCACCCATACTTAGCTGAAAGTTTCAACGGCGACCACACGGCTTGCTGCGTTTCGAACCCTTCCTTGCTCTCAGTGCCCTGCGATTACCCGCTGCTGCCCTTCCCTGCCTCTGCCCTGCATCTGCCCTGCCTCTGCCCCGCCTCTGCCCCGCCTCTGCCCCGCCTCTGCCCCGCCTCTGCCCCGCCTCTGCTCTGCCCCACTCCACCAGGGACGTCAGCAGCAACTCTCTCAGCGGCGCTCCAGGCAACATTGTCAGCAACATGCCCTCCCTCTCCTACCTGTACGCTCCATGCCTCTCTTCTGTACGCTCCATGCCTCTCTTCCCTCCTCTACTCCCTCTTTTTGTAGCACTCTCCCTCTGCTTAATCCGCTCCTCCCACCATAGTCAGCAACATGCCTTCCCTCTCCTACCTGTATGCCCCTCTCCCTCCCTGCCTCCTACCCCCTCTCACTCCCCTCTCCCTCCCTCTCTGCCTCCTACCCCCTCTCACTCCCCTCTTCCTCTGCTGCCTGTATACCACTTTCCCTCTCCTCCTACCTGTACGCCCCTCTCTTCCTCTCTGTTAACCTTTCCACACCCTTCTACACCCCCTGGCACCAATATACAAACCTTTAAACTCTTCTACGCCCCTCCATGCCCTGGACTCGTCCCCAGGGTGACGGACAGCCAGCAGATGGTGTGATATGACATTAGCTCCAACTACTTCCACGGCCTGGACTCGTATCCGACACCCCCCCCATCACCCCTTCGACACCCCTCTCCACCCCTTGCTGCCCCTTCCACCCCTCTGCACCCCTCTCTACACCTTTGTTACCTCCCCCCCAGCAACCTGTCTAAGAATTTCTTCACTGGTCTCGTTCCCCGAGTAACGGACAGCGAACAGATGGTGTCGTACGACATCAGCTCCAACTACTTCTATGGGCCTGGGCTTGTATCCAACACCACCCCCCTCGCGCTGCACCTCTCTACTCCTTGCTAACCCGTCCCACCCCCCTGCACCCCTCTCTTCCCTTTGTTGCCTTGCCTTCCCCTCCAGCAACCTGTCGCAGAACTACTTCACAGGGCTGGTCCCCGTGTTACAGACAGTCAACAAATGGTCTCGTATGACATCAGCTCCACTACTTCTATGGGCCCGGACTCGTCTCAGACACCACCCCCCTCGCGATGCCCCTTGCCTCCCTTGCTGCCCCCCCCCCGTGCCTCCCACCCGCCAGTAATTTATCCCACAACTATTTCACAGGGCTGGTCCCCAGGGTAAACGGACAGCCAGCAGATGGTCTCGTACGATATCAGCTCCAACTACTTCTATGGACCTGGGCTCGTCTCAGACACCACCCCCCTGGCTCTGCCCCTCTGCAAGACCGGGTTCGAGCGGGAACCTTCTCGGCAGCTTCCAACTGCCTGGTGTACGGGGCTGCGACGGAGAATTCGTTGTCCCACTCGCACTGGCCCCATGAGCACAGGGGAGCTGCTGCAGGTGGGGATGGGTGAGGAGGGGTGTAGATGGGTATGGATGGGTACGAGGTGTGGGGTTGCGACGGAGAGCTTGTGTCCCACTCGCACTGGCCCCATGAGCACAGTGGGCTGCTGCAGGTGGGTGTAGTCACAGGAGTATAGATGGGTATAAATGGGTGTGGAGTGCTGGGTTGCGACGGAAAAATTCCTGCCCCACTCGCACTGGCCCCATGAGCTCAGGGGAGCTGCTGCAGCGCTCAGAGGCAGCCTGCCTCGCTTCTGCCGCACCAACGTCACTCGCACCGCTGCCAACTCCCAGTAAACTCTCTACTATGTGCCCACTCTGGCCCCTGTTCCCCACACACATCAGGTGGACGCTCAGCGCTCAGAGCAGCCTGCCTCGCCTTCTGTCGCACCAACGTCACTCGCACCACCGCCAAACTCCCAGTGCGGCTCGCTGGGGACTTGCGTGGTGGAGATGACAGGAATTCCCCCCCGACCCTCCTTCTCCTGCAACTGCTTCAAGGGGACTGTTCGCTCCCCCGACGGCCTAAACTGCACCGCAATTGGTAAGAAAGACCGTGCTGTGCAGTGCGCTGCTGCTTGTGGGATGGGGTTACCACCGCCATTCACCCGCCCCGCCCCTCCTTCTCCTGCGACTGCTTCAAGGGGGCTGTTCGGTCTTCTGACGGCCTCTCCTGCACGGCTATCGGTAAAGTTGCACACTGCACAGTTTGAAGCGCCTCAAAAGTCTAGTTTTAGAGCGCCAGTTGCACACTGCACCAACAATGCACACTGCACAAACAATGCACACTGCACAAACAATGCACCACTGCACAAACAATGCACACTGCACAAAACAATGCACACTGCACAAACAATGCACACTGCACAAACAATGCACACTGCTCAAACAATGCACACTGCACAAACAATGCACTCTGCACAAAAATGCACACTGCTCAAACAATGCACACTGCACAAACAATGCCACACTGCACAACAAACAATGCACACTGCACAACAAACAATGCACACTGCACAACAAACACATGCACACTGCACAACAAACAATGCACACTGCACAACAAACAATGCACACTGCACAATGCATTGCTTGCGGACTTAGTGCTGCACTCCCCCCCCCTCCCCCTCTCCCGGCCCCCACCCCCCCCCCGCCCCTCCTATTTCTTTTCGTTGTTTATTAATTCCCCTCTTTTTGCTTCTTGCTGCTGCCCCCTCCCCCATTCCCAATCTGCAGAGAGACCCTCCCATCACCTCCTCCTCCCCGCCCATCCCCTCCCCCCACACCCCCCACACAGCTCCCCTTCGCCCCCCTCCCTCATCTCCTTCCCCCACTCCGCCCCCACCCACTCCCCCTCCGCCCCCACCATCGCCTCCTGCTGACTCAGTGGATGCTGAAACAGCAGCTGCCCCAACCCTCCTGCGCCTGTCTCCTCCCCTGATAGCCCACCTCCCCCATCCCCTCCCCCTTCCCCTTCTCCGCCCTCCCCTCCTCTGGAGAGCCCCCCCCCCCCCCCTCTCCTCCTCCCCCCCTCTCTCTCCTCCCCCCCTCCCCTCCCCCGCCCTCCCCTCCTGTGGACAGCTCCTCCTCCTAGCCCCCCTCCTTCTCCCCCCCTCGAATCTCCCCCGCCGCCCTCTCCTCCTCCCCCTCTCCCCCCCCTCCCTCGCCACCACCATCACCCCCTCCCCCTTCCCTCCTCCGCCCTCTCTTCCCCTCCCTCCCCCCTCCGCCATCTCCCTCCCCCCCCCCCCCCTCCGCCCTCCCCAAGCCTTAGGGGGGAGGATTTAGATGCTATAGCCAGTGGGGATTTACCAGCTGTCCCTCCGGACTCTCCCCCACCTCCCCCAGACTCCCCCCCTCCCCCACCTCCAGACTCGCCCCTCCCTCTCTCCCCCTCCTTTCCCCCCTCCCTCCCCTCCTCCCTCTCCTCCTCCCTCGCCTCCCCCCCCGCCCCCTCCCTCTCCTCCTCCCTCACCTCCTCCTTCTCCTCCTCCCTCTCCTCCCCCCAGCCCTCCCCCTTCTCCTCCCCCCAAGCCTCCTCCCTCTCCTCCTCCCTCTCCTCCTCCCTCTCCTCCACCCCCTTCTCCTCCTCCTCCCCGCCCACCCCCACCCTCTCCCCCTCCCCCATCCCCGCCGCCCGCCTCTCCTCCGCCGCCCGCCACCCCTCCGCCGCCACCCAGTATTAACGGAGCCAAGTGTGGGTGGTTCTTGGGGTACTATAAGTGCGAGAACCACGACGACAATTGGGCTGCATGAACCACGACGACAATTGGGCTCCATAAGGTTACGCGGCTGGTGGTGGGGAGGAGCATGAGAGGAAGTGACCGCTGTGTGGGGGAGAGCAAGTGTGGGTGGGGCAAGTGTGGGTGCTTCCAGGGGCACTGCAGGTGTGAGAACCATGACAGCAATCGGATTGTGTAAAGCTCTTCGGCTGGTTGCGTTGAAAGGAGCAGACACCGCTACGGAGTCAAGTGTGGTAGGGGCGTGAGGGACAGCAAGGCCAGGCCATTCTGTGGAATCATGTGTGGGGGTTTCCTGGGGTACTACAAGCGCGATAACCATGCCAGCAATGTGGTTGCGTAAAGCTATTCGTCTGGCTCGGGTGGGAGGGAGGGGCATGAGGAACAGAGACTGCTCTGGCTGTAGTCAAGTGTAGGTGGTTGGTTGTGGTTCCTGGGATACTAAGAAGTTCTGTAAGTCACTGTTATGGTGTAAAGCTTTTCGCCTGGTTGGGTTGAAAGGGGTGTGGCGTGAGGAACAGAAAATGCTCCGAGGGCAAGTGTGCGAGGGTAGCTTTACGAATCTGCCTCAGGCGTGGGGGATTGATAGACAAGGCAGACCAGGGCTGCTCTGAGGGTCCGTTGCAGATGATTTGATGGTGGGGATATCCATGTTGAAACCCTGGTGTACTAAATAACTTTTGAGATGTCTCAAAAGTCGTCTCCTTAAAGCCAGGTTGAAACGCTGGTGTGCTACCGTATATAGGAAACTCGGATGGGAATCGATGACAAGAGAGACGCTGGCTGATGCTGCTTGATTGAAACACATGGGTTGAAATCGGTAGGCTGGTTGGAGATATACTGGTAACTCAAAACCAACATGAGGTAGCAAAATTAGCTGTTTGGTTGGTTGGTAGGTTTAGCCGTATCCGGACCATGATATCCTGATTTGCGAGAACCACGAGTCATGACCATACTGCTATCACATCATGCTACCGTGAAGATGGCTAGAAACAATAGGCTGACTTTTGAGATGGCTACTGTTGCGAATTTTGGTGGGTGGTGAACCTGGGTTTGCTACAGTACTACCGTAGTTGCTGTGCTAACTTTTCCAATAATCAATTCAATCAAAGAGTGCGGTTGGCGCTGGGTGCTGATGGGTGTTGATGGGTGTAGCTATGGGTGTCTTTCAATGTAATCCACCTCTGAGAACCAAGTGCCAGCCAGAAGGAGGCCTCATAGGAATAAGGACCTCTCAAGGTTCTCTCGGAAAATCGTGCAGGGAAATTTACCCTGTGAGGTGACTAATCCACAAACTAGTACGGCTTAAACCGGTCCTTCCCCTTACCCTTCCGCTTACTCCCTTTCACCCCTCCATCCTCCAACCCCTCCTCCTCCTCCTCCTCCTCCTGCCCCTCGATCCCCTCCCATTGGCACAAGCACCCATCCTCCCCTCCTGTCCAAAAAGTCACAGCTGTTCCGCTAGACAAAGCAGCATGAGATGCTGGCGGTGCCACTCTGACCACATCCCTCACCACCCCTGAATGCGCCCCGGATAGGAGCATGTCCGGGCCGCTGACCTGGCAGGTGCCAGGTGGCACACTCACACTGGTGCTGCCATGTGGATGCTCTGTCATCATTGCATCATCATCACGAGAAGCAGCCGCAGCGGCAACAGCAGCAGCAGGGTGAGATGGATTGGAGAAGGTGGGGGGGAGGGAGATGGGGAAGGCGGCTGCATGACCCAGGTGGGAACCGGCAAAAAGGCGGAGGCGGGGGTTGGGCGAGGGGGAATAGTCACATGTTATCAGATAATCCACCTGCGTGGGCAGTGAGGGAGAGAGAGAGGGTGGGGGGGAGGGATATGGGGAAGGAGGCTGCATGACACAAATGACACAAGTGGGAACTGAGAGGTGGAGGGTGGGCGGGGGTGGGCGGGGGTGGGCAGGGGTGGGCGAGGGGGAATAGGCACATGCTATCAGATATTCCACCTGAAGCGGAGAGAAAGGAAGGGATGGGGAGAGAAAGGAAGGGATGGCGAGAGAAAGGAAGGGATGGGGAGAGAAGGAAGGGATGGCGAGAGAAAGGAAGGGATGGCGAGAGAAAGGAAGGGATGGGAGAGAAAGGAAGGATGGCGAGAGAAAGGAAGGGATGGCGAGAGAAAGGAAGGGATGGGAGAGAAAGGAAGGGATGGGGAGAGAAGGAAGGGATGGCGAGAGAAAGGAAGGGATGGGGAGAGAAAGCCAGAGCTTGGAGGAGAATGAGAGCAAGTAGGAGGTGACTTTTGAGTCAACTCAAAAGTCGGCTCGAGGAGGATACGAGGGGGACGAGGTTGACAGCGGGGGAGTGGATACAGGCCATTGGCCAAGGAGACAAAAAAATAAATAGAGATTTCAGTACAGGTGGATACAGCGGGGGAGTGGATACAGGCCATTGGCCATAGGTGCCATAGGTGCCATAGGTGCCATTTCAGTACAGAGAACAAGGTAGCACGAGGGACCGTAGGTGCCATAGTGAGAAATTTGGGGAGTCGTCAGCCCCTGACTCGGGCTTGAGATGTCTCAGATCTCAAGGGAACTTGGTTTAAGGGCATCTGAACATGGTTTGAGGCGCCTCAAAACTTGGTTTAAGGGCACTGAACATGGTTTGAGGCGCCTCAAAACTTGGTTTAAGGGCACTGAACATGTTTTGAGGGCACCTCAAAACTTGGTTTAAGGGCACTGAACATGTTTTAAGGGCACCTCAAAACTTGGTTTAAGGGCACCTGAACATGGTTTTACAAGTGTCGAGAAAAATAGAATACTCACAGGGACTTGAAGGGGCCACTTTTCGGAGAGAGTTGACCGAATTTCGTCAAACGATGCAATGGGATCGCCAGTCCAGAGATCCCAGAGGCTGGTGGGGGGAGAGAGGAAAGGCTAAGTTGGATATTACGCTTACGTTTACGTACGTTTTACGTTTACGTTTACGTACGTTTTACGTTACGTACAAGGTTCCAGAATGAGTTTACGTTTCTGGGCAGATTAGTTTTTTTTCCAGCTGCCTGGGCCTAAGAATTTCCTTGGGATTCAAAGGTGGCATTAACATTATCTATGATAATGTTATGGTTCAAGCTACGAAACTACAATCTCCAGCCAGAATTTTTGTTGCCGACCATTGTTTGTATCGGCGCGTCACCTAGTGACGCGTTACTTTTGCTATGTGCACAGAATCGCTTCGGGCTTTCCCTCCAATTTCAAAATTGCGAGTCAACGTTCCCCCCCTCATCACTTCGACCTCCCCACCTGTTTTTATGTTCGAGCCCCATGACTTACGCGGGGCTCTGAAGGTTACGCTCGATGATAGAGCTAGAGATCCACGACCTAATCATCTGACATCTTCTACATAGATCTCCGTTCTAGATCCTCTAACCTAGATCCTAGAGTTCCTAAGTACGACCTAAGTTAAGATCTAAAAGATGGTGCTGCGAATTTAAATATCGAGGTAGATAGTCACTAAATATAGCATAACGGTTATGAAAGAACCGTCAATCCTAAACATAGCATTTCGTGCGGAGCTGTATGTGCTGCCCTGAGCGGTTGTGCCGCAATGATGCTCTCTTCTCCGGGGCCAATTTACAGAAAGTTTTTTTTGCCGGATTTTTTTTCCTGCCCGGACCTAAGTTACGCGTATTTACACGTACGTAAACGTAATGTTACGCGTAACATTACGTTTACGTAGGTCCAGGGACGTACGGACCCATCTTAGAGGAAAGGGGATGGACGCGTGAAGAGAGGGGAGAAGAGACGGGAAGAAGGGGCACGGAACATATGTCGTCAACAGAAGCAATGGGTTCGCCAGTCCAGAGATCCCAGAGGCTGGTGGGGGGAGAGAGGAGGGGAGGGGGAAGAGAAAGCGGGGAGTAGGGACAATAAAAAACATAGGGTTACCAGTTTAGAGGACTGAGAACCAAGTTGGAAACTAACAGGGGGGAAGGAACTGGGGCCCGGAGGCATTGGAAAGGATAGGATGCTGGGCTGGAGAAAGGAGATTCAAATCCACGGCGGTATATGGGGCAGAGGAGGAGATCACAAGAGAGAATGTACGGGAGAAAGGGGAAGTGAAAAGGTGAAGTGAAGCCCTTCCATATTGTGTAAAGATGTTAAAGTACTGCCCAACCACCTGAGAGTCTCAACGCTGGTGAGGCACCAAAGAGCAGAGGCAGATGGGCCAAAGAAGCCAATGCGGGAGATGGATGTGCCAGGGCTTATTACCTGCATGGAAAAAGAGAATGATGGTTGAGGAGGGAGGGATGGAGAAGAGGGGAGGACGGCCACAATAGGGAAACAGCGGAACGATTAGTACTGGGGTGTGTTCATGAGAAAAGACGTATGATGCGGCGTTCAAACATCGACTCAAACGTCAGCAATGCTAGATTGATGGAGCGAAGACATGTTCTCTCGTTGGAAGAAGGTTCTCTAGACGACGTTTCTTATGTGGCTCGTTCCTACAAGCGAATGATGATGCTGTGGATTTGGTTGATGCATAAAGTTTGGCTGCTCTGCTGATCAAAATTGACACAGCTATGCAACCAGATGCTCGACTAGACTGTACAGCAAGGTCAACAATGATCAGCAGAGCAGCCAAACATGACGCACCAATCAAATCCACAGTATATGAACCACTCAAATATTCATCCCTTGTTTGTGGGAAACAGGAAACCACATAGGATAGGAAGCGTCGACTAGAGACCCTTCCTCCAACGAGGGAGCCTGCATTCGCTCCATCAGCTGAGAGGTGCTTAATTCTGAGTCGGTGTTGGATTGGAAAAGATGCCGGAGTACGCTGAGACTAAGCGCAAGCGGAAATCCTACTCTAATGCACCGAAGCTCGAAATGCAGACAAAGAATGAAAAGAAATGAAAAAGAAGAAAACAAATGAAAAAACGAATCAAATTTAGTAAAACGACAAGGGAATGGGCATTTGGGCAGCATTGGTCAGGGAAAAGGCAAAAAAAGGCAAGAGAAAGAAAGAAAGGAAAGTAGGGATGGCAATGAAAGCAAGGATTTGGGCACTGGGCAGCAGTGATTACGGACTGACTGGAGCGGGTCGGAATCCGCATAACGCTCTGCTTCTGCTGGGGTGGTAGTTACTGTCGAGGCGGAGAGGGATGCTTCATACGGTGGAGAGAGGTCAAAGGGCAGATGAGGCCGTCGAGCGCGGCTGAGAGGAGTGCAGTGCGGTGGAAAGGGTGGAAGCGAACCTGAAGGGAAGGGGCAAATGACAAGCAAAGAGTCAATGAGGACAAGGACAAGGTTGGCGGCGAGGAGCTTGTTGCGCTGACGTGGTGCTGATGCGGTGCTGACATGGTGCTGATGTGGTGCTGATGTGGTGCTGATGTGGTGCTGATGTGGTACTGACCTACACTTTGAGCAGCAAATAGGATGCTCCTAGTGCCCCACGGTCCCACCTAGTGACATCACAGCCCACCTGAATGACGTCACAGCCCACCTGAGCGACGTCACAGCCCACCTGAGCGATGTCACAGCCCACCCGAGTGACCTCACAGCCCACCCGAGTGACGTCACAGCCCACCTGAGTGACGTCACAGCCCACCCGAGTGACGTCACAGCCCACCCGAGTGACGTCACAGCCCGCCTGAGTGACATCACAGCCCACCTGAGTGACGTCACAGCCCACCTGAGTAACGTCCTCCGTATGTGCGTCCTCCAGTCGCCCCAGCAGTCGGCTGGACCGCATGTCCCACAGAAAGATCTGAAAAGGGTTTACACCCACAGGGTTGAAGGAATAAGTGGAAAGACATAGTACAAACCCCGTTGTGTTGTGACTCGACAACCAGTTGCCCCAACAGCCAGCTGGACCGCATGATTAACAGGAGAGTGCAAACACGGAAACAGGTTTAAGGAGCCGGCAAGGGTTTAAGATAAGAAGCGGCTGAGAAGGGCAATTTAGTACCGAAATGCCTTGCCAAGGAGCCGGGCTACACAAAGAAATAGCCCCACACCCACTGCCAGATACCACCTCCCCCAGTCAGAGCATCACCAGGAAGTCCTCCAATGCTGCCAGAAAATTCCCTCTGGAGGAACCCCAAGCCCCAATGATGAAATGCCCCTTCTGCCAGATACCACCTCCCCCAGTCAGCACTCAACGGCCAGATACTGCCTCCCCCAGAAAGCACCTTACCTGGGAGTTGCCTCCAGCCGCCAGGAGGTGTCCTGTGCTCCCCCCTCCCCCGCTGCAGCTCCACAGCTCGCCCGCCCCCTCATACGCGGGGAACACACCCGCCTAGTGGGGGGAGGAACAGGGGGGCGAGGGGAAGGGGAGGGGGAGGGGGAGAGCGGGGGGGAGGGGTGGGGGGAAGGTCGAAAAGGAAAAACAAGGGGAGAAGGTTGAGGGAGCAGTACTGTCAGGGATGGGGAAGAGTTAAAACATGCGCAACTGCGTGTCAATAGTCAGAGTGGCTAGACTAGTAGCATATAAGAAAGGCCACAGTGACTGCACTACGTCCCCCTGATTTGTCTGCTTCTCGCTATCGATCAGATCTTACCCTTCAAACCCCAAACCCTGAAACCCGTCCCCCCGATCCAAGATCTCCTGTGCTCTTTCTCCGATTAGTTTTGAGGTGCCTCAAATCTAGACTTCTCGCCGTCGATCAGATCTGACCCTTCAAACCCCAAACCCTGAAATCCGTCCCCCCATCCAAGATCTCCTGTGTTCTTTCTCCATTCAAGCCCGGGCAAACCCAACACCAACGGTGGATTAGAGAACAAAAGAAAAAAACATGCTCTCTAAGGAGAATCCAGAGGTGATTTTCCATAAGGTGAAAACAGAAGTAAAAAAACGACAAGACGACGAGACGAACATATTGAACGCGGCGTTAGCAGCTCCCACCTGCGATCGCTTTATAAAAATAAAGTTGCCAGCGCTCACCTGCGATACAACATGTGTAATAACTCTGAGGCGAGTTTTTTAAAATTAGGGTTAAACATGCCGTCACTAGTAGCAGCGTTCACCTGCGATCGAGCGCGCGCGTCCCAAACGTAAACCGCAGATTCGGACGATGACGACAGCAGCACCTCCTTTCCCGGCCCCGCCCCCCCAAAAGCCGCCTCCGCAAACCCTAAATCCGTCACCGTGCCAGGGTGGCGCGCTGCCACGTCACCCAGGGACGCGCCGGATGCCACGTCGAAGGATTTGATGGCGGGCGCTGACGTGGACGCTGCCAGAAGCGGCGAAATCGAGCTGCGGAGTTACGGAAGGATTAGGGTTTCAGCGACAACTGACATTGAGATGTGATTAGAGAAGATGCGACTGTTCGAAGTGATCGAAATACGCCGCGCCGCGCATAATGAAATACCTATTTCAATCACTGTGCTCAGCTCGCGATGTAAATTGATTGCAGATACGGGATATTGTCAGGCAAAGAAAAGGGTTAACTCTGCTTCACGAGGCTTGAACTGGACGAGGCTGAAGCGGTGTTTAAGAAGAGGTACAGAGGGAGGATACCTTCACCTAGGCCGCTTCTTAGCGGCTTTGCTAGCACACCTTACGGCAGTCTGCAGCACATAATCTGGGTCGTCGGTAGAACCACCCACTCTGATCGTGTGCGCTGGTTTCAACTGCTGGCCGCAAAAGGTCGCAGGGGAGCGGCTGCTACTGCAGCCAGGCCCATCATCCATTACTACCTCGTAAGTTCTAGCAGCCTCCTAAAAACAAGAACGACAGCTATGTCAAGCACAAATGTTCAGTCAGCACCATGAGTGGGAAGTCATATCTTAGGGGAATCATCCTAGATGGTTGACCATCACTGTACCAGTGACATTTAACTGTGCATGCACTGTATACCTTAGTTACACCTAACCACCGCTATTTTCTTTCGGTCTATCTTCAACCCCCACGTGTGCAAAGGGGTAGGCACCCTTCAAAACGTTTTTGACCGAGGGTTGTGTCGGACGTCATACGCTCTACGCAGAGTTAGTTCCTGACTCCTGAAAGCTACGCAATGGGATGCGCAACAACAAGCAGACTCCACACGAGCCGAAATTGTCTTACACTCGCCCGATTGAAATCTCCATTTGATGTCATTCATAGTCCCCTATAACGAGGTTTCTAACAGAAAACCCCAAAAGCTGGGCAGGGATTACATGAAAATCGGGAACAGTGCCAAGGTCAGAAGTTGAAAATAGCGGTGGCTAGGTGTACTGTATCTTTTAGCGGACGTAGAAGCTAGGTCTGGTCTGGTTGGTGGTTAGGAAACGGTTAATTTTCTTTTCGGCGTAATCGTTTTCAGCCTACAGAAAAAATCCCGGCCAAATCAAATCGTTCCGGCGGAACTCTCCTGTGGGGTGGGGAAACAATGGGTTGTTCCTGCCCGAGTAAGATTAATGATGTTATCAGCATTCAGAAACAGCGGGTTTTCTTGAAATTTGCAGCGTGTCCGGTGTACAGTAACCCGCATTTGATGTTCGTTAGATAAAACGCACACGAATAATAGCTTTGCAAGGCTCTGTTGGGAAAGCCACTCTCCAAATCTCGCCTCAACAACATCGTGGGTTTTTGGCTAGCGAGATTCTTTCACAAGACCGTAAATTTTTCTGGCATGCTCGGCCTGGCTGACACGAGCAAACTCGCACCACCAAGCCGCCTCGCACTTCCCAAGGCCCACACCGCCTCCAAGTTTTCGCGCGTCCCTGACCTGCCTTCACCGCCAATCACAAGCGCCAACCGCTCGTGTCATCCTTGGCCAAATGCGGCTGGGGAGAAGCACCAGCCCTCCTGTCCATCCGATTCAAATCCCAAACACGAAAAAGACAAAGGCACGACAACCTTCCCCTGGGCCTCAACAGCCCAAGCAAACCCAAGGGCAAGAAGGGCGCCGCAGGGAGCAGTGCGAGTGCGGCAGTCACGGCAGCCTGGGCTGGGAGTACAGTGCGGGAACTTGAAACTTGAAGTTGCCCCTATCAGCTCAGCAAATCACGCGGTCATTCCGCCAGGCAGACTTTCTTCAAGCCAGCCAGCCATGGCAGTCCCAAGGCGGCCAGGCAGGGCAACAACGAGGGGCGTCCTTGGGAATCATTGGCCTTGGGGTGGCAGGGTGGTAGATGTGAGCCATGGTGCCGCTCTTCCGTGAGTCGTATCGTGATGCTTGAATTAAGGGATTATCGAGCTCCTCTGGCTGCACTGCAAGGGTTTCCTCAGGGCTCACCCTTCCGTAAGGAAAAGTCGGTAGGTGAATGAATGAATGGATACCCGACGTGCTTGACAATCCTGCCAGGTTCCGTTGATACGTGTGACCCTGGTGTTTGCTTCACTAGCCTGGTCAAGTGGGGTTGTACAACACCAGAATACAATCTTCGAATCACAGCCGCGTTTCGAGTTCAAGTTTGCTTCCAGCTTGAGGGACCGACAGCTCATCCAGGCATTTTTTTCCTAGCCTTGAAGTTGCAATAACGTTTCACAAGCTTCGATCATTGTGTATCTCACCTTCTCATACGTCCTCCAAGTCCCGTCGCTTATTTAGTTCTCTTTTTGTAGGAGATGCAAAAGGTGTCAGATTATCAACATACGTGCACGTTGTGATCAATCTTACCGCAAATGGCGGAGCGCGGAGACGGCGAGGCGAGGGCGAAGCGAATCCGACGGCCGGCGCTTCTTCCGGGCTTCATCCCGTGGAGCGCGCTAGAACTAGGCCCCCGCAAAAAGCAGGTTACCGTCGAGACGCCGCAAAAGACGCCGCAAAAGCCGCTCGAGCCGACTCAGGCTCTTCAGGAAAAGCAGAGCCAGTCTGGGGGACAGGGGGGGAACACCAGACGGTTAGCGAATCGCAGAGGGTGGTCCGCCGCTCGGCCTAGTGGCGAGTCGCTTGCGATCCGGGATCATATCGCCGGTTCGACCGCCGGGTATCCCGCAGGCATTCCCTGTACTACTAGTAGTAGTCCCGACGCCGCGGGGGAAAATCACGGAGCGACCACGTCTGAGTTTAAACACTTGAAGGACCTGCCAAACGGCCTCAAGGGGGCCGTCACGAAGGCTGACGAGCGGCACGAGAACGTTAGCGGTAACGAGTGTGAGCGAGCTTGCGAAACGATTCTGTTTGGTCCGCCGAGCGGCTGCCGCGGCGGCGGCGGCGGCGGCGGCGGCTCCAAGCCGCCGATTGACGACGAGCGGCAAAAGAAGCGCAAGCGACCGAAGGTGAAGAGCATCGACGCGGTCTTTTTAGATCCTGACCTGCACGCGAGGATGGCGCTTCGGGAAAGCGCGGCTAGCGCGGACCGGTCGTCGCGGCAGTCGAAGCCGCGGCGCGATAAAACAACTTCGAGCGTGGTTGAGGTAAGACGAATGATGTTTCTATCTATAGCATGTGATGTATCTTGGAGAACTCCCAAAAATACCCTGAACAATGTTTCTATGATAGCATCATGTGAATTAGTAGTGTTGTCACCAAGGCCGATTCTTCGTGGGATATGACTGTCACAGGTACTCGACTCGAGTCCTTGAAATTTAGTATGTCGTGTCCGTCTGGTGTGCTGTCCCCTTCACCATTTGAAGGATCCTTATGAGTGATACGTCCGTCACGTCAGTATGTCATTTGACAGGCGTCTATGCTTTTAAGCCGAATAAAATTCCACCAACTCCTCCCTAAAGGTCGTCAAGTCAATTATTCACCGTTAGTCAAAGTATGCCTAATTCATTCTGGTATGATCCATCCATCCACCGTATTTCCCTCTCTTCCCTTCACCACGGTGCCTTGTTTCCCTTTCTGGCTAGTCTGTTCTCTCTCACTCACTCCGTCCTCACTATTCCCGTTTTCGCTACTCCCTTCTCGCCGTTCCTTCCGCCACAATTCTTTGCGTTCCGACTGGTTTGGCTATCCCGTATTTCCAGGCGCCAGGGAGATGCGATGGTGGCCGACAGACAAATGCGCGACCATCGATCCTCGCGCCGCTTCGTTATAAGGCGGACTCGTTAACCGGGGAGTCGAGCGGAAGCCACGCGCGGAAGCTTGAGCGGACCGCGAGCGAAAGCACTCACGAGGGGAGCGGAATTAGGCATTCCTCCTCTCACAGACAAACCCCCGGTTTCACAATCACCAACCTGTCGGAACGAGACAAGAACGGGGGGTGCTCGTTAGAAGCACAGCGTCTGGACGGACGGAATCGCCCGAGGGTTTCGAAAGAGAGCAGACTTCAAGAGGGTGTGATTGTAGCGAGCGAGAGTCGCAAGTGTGTTGCAGAGGACAGTTTGCTGACAGATGATTGCAACAAGGATGACTGTAGCGAGGGGAGTGGTGGTGGGATGTCGTCCGACGGTTGGGATGAGATTTGCTCCGCTGTAAGCCATAAACGGTGTGCTACAGTAAAGAGCGAAGTGGAAGAGTTACCTGCAACGTCTGCAACAAAAATGTATCTTCCAGGAGCTGTAGTTTGGGCCAAGGTGTGTACAATATAATAACTGTTGTTTGTGAACTTCTCTTTCACTCAAATTTTGTTTGTTTGTTTGTTTGTTTTTTTTTTTTAATCATTGTTCAATGTAAGTTAAGATTTTGTGTGTGTGTGTGTGTGTGTGTGTGTGTGTGTGTGTGTGTGTGTGTGTGTGTGTGTGTGTGTGTGTGTGTGTGTGTGTGTGTGTGTGTGTGTGTGTGTGTGTTGGATTGTGTTTGTTAAAGGTGGATGATAGCAAAGGGTGGTGGCCGGCAATGGTGGAGGATTGGATGGATGTGCCTATAACGGTTCGGCTCCTACAGGAACACGAGAGCGATCATGTAGTGAGGCTGATATTGCGAGAAGCCGGGGAGACGAAACACCTATGCATGAAACCACAGTAAGTTTCAGCCTCTCCATGCACGAAATGCCACTCCATACCTCTCAATACCACTTAAAATACACTCGTATAAACCTTCTCAGCGGCTAAGCCCCCCTCCCATCTTTTATTTCTTTCGTTCTTTCTTCCTTTCTTCCTTCCTTTCTTTCTTTCTTTCTTTCTTTCTTTCTTTCTTTCTTTCTTTCTTTCTTTCTTTCTTTCTTTCTTTCTTTCTTTCTTTCTTTCTCCTCTCTCGCCCCTTTCCCCACTAGGTTTCTCAAGGATTTTCTGTCAAATATGGCTCATTTTAGAGGGCAAAGTGAGAGAGCGGCTTTTCAGGACGCCATAGAGAAGGGCCTTCGGTTAGCCTCGGAAGAGCAAACGAGGCTAAAACACATGCAAGCTGCAGCAGCGCAGCTTCCAAACCTACGGCCCAGGTTCGGGAGTCTGGGCAGGAAGAAACCTTTCAAAGCTCTGTGCAGCAACGGAACTGCCGCAGCTGCTGATTGCACTGGGAGTGGCAGAGAAGTGGCAGGAGTAGGGGCAGGAGCAGTAGCAGAAGCAGGGCCTTCAATGAATGGAGAAGAATTCACACCTCAGGTCTCTGCTGAAGGGGGTGCATCGTTAGGGAAAGCAAGGAAAAAGGCCAAATCCGGCTTACAGGACAAGGGGAAGGAGTCAAGGGAAGGACCTGATCCGTCTGGTGCTCTGTGTGTTGCAGGGGCCAATCAGCTGCTGCCACATACCCCTCCGTTGAAGCAGCAGGGGCGGAAGGTGAAGGAGGGAGAAACCAGTCTGGATGAGCAATGCAGGGACCAATCAGGAGGTGCCAGGTGTCCGCCTAGTGAGGTGCTGTGTAGGGCGACTAGAAGCAGCAGTAGCCGTCCCCCTAAGGCTGAGGTAGTTGGTGTGAGGCAGAGTGAGAGGGGGAGTGAGAGAGCGAGTGAGAGGGAGAGTGAAAGAGTGCGAGTGAGTGAGAAGGAGAGTGAGCAGCAGCGGTTTGAGACGCCTCAGAAAAGGAGGGTGACTCGAGCAGGAAGCAAGGCAGCAGTAGAGGGCACCGCAGGAACAACAGGTATTGGAAAAGTTACCGGTAGACTTAGTCCCAACAGGCGATTGGATGTGGATAGATTACTCTATGCCACCACCTCAAGCCAGGTGAAAAATCAGGTGAAAAGCCAGGTTGAATCACAGATGTCAGGTAAGTCTGAAAGGGTAGGCAAGGCCGGGGTAGTCTGTGAGGAGAGAGAGGATCGTGGTGCTGATGACTGGATGGGGGCTGCTTCGGATAAAGTCTTGGGTGCTGCTGATAAGAAGGGGAGTGCGCCTGATGAGCTGGGTGTTCCTGATAAGCTGGGTGGTCCTGATAAGCTGGGTGGTCCTGATAAGCTGGGTGGTCCTGATAAGCTGGGTGTTCCTGATAAGCTGGGTGGTCCTGATAAGCTGGGTGTTCTTGATAAGCTGGGTGGTCCTGATAAGCTGGGTGGTCCTGATAAGCTGGGTGGTCCTGATAAGCTGGGTGGTCCTGATAAGCTGGGTGGTCCTGATAAGCTGGGTGGTCCTGATAAGCTGGGTGGTCCTGATAAGCTGGGTGGTCCTGATAAGCTGGGTGTTCCTGATAAGCTGGGTGGTCCTGATAAGCTGGGTGGTCCTGATAAGCTGGGTGGTCCTGATAAGCTGGGTGGTCCTGATAAGCTGGGTGGTCCTGATAAGCTGGGTGGTCCTGATAAGCTGGGTGGTCCTGATAAGCTGGGTGGTCCTGATAAGCTGGGTGGTCCTGATAAGCTGGGTGGTCCTGAAAAGCCGGGTGTTCCTGATAAGCTGGGTGTTCTTGATAAGCTGGGTGGTCCTGATAAGCTGGGTGGTCCTGATAAGCTGGGTGGTCCTGATAAGCTGGGTGGTCCTGATAAGCTGGGTGGTCCTGATAAGCTGGGTGGTCCTGATAAGCTGGGTGGTCCTGATAAGCTGGGTGGTCCTGATAAGCTGGGTGGTCCTGAAAAGCCGGGTGTTCCTGATAAGCTGGGTGTTCTTGATAAGCTGGGTGGTCCTGATAAGCTGGGTGGTCCTGATAAGCTGGGTGGTCCTGATAAGCTGGGTGGTCCTGATAAGCTGGGTGTTCCTGATAAGCTGGGTGGTCCTGATAAGCTGGGTGCCGCTGATAAGGAGACGAAGCAACCAAAGTCACAGGTTGTAACAGAGCGTGAGATGAGGGAGTCGACCAAGCTGCAGCATAGGCTGTGTGACGAGAGGAATGGGCCTGAAGGCAGACGCCACGGTGAAGCGGGGTGTAGTGCAGTGAAAAACGGTGGAGCGAAGCACAGTGCAAAATCAGCATCAGCAGCAGCTTCAGTAGCAGCAGCAGCAGCAGGAGGAGGAGGGAAAGGTAAAGATTCAGCTGCCGCACTGGCGTTTCAAAGGGCGTGTGCGCGAGCAGAGCTTATGGGCATGCCTCTACCCACCTGCACCCTTACCCTCAAACCCCTCCTCACCTCATCCACCTCCTCATGTAGGGATAGATCGGCCAGGAGACAGCAGGCGGGGCGGGAGGGGGGTTGTGAGAGGCCTCAGGAGAATGTTGTTTTGAGGGAGCAGCTGTGGCTGGAGGAGTGGGATGAGGAGGAGGTTGAAATGGGGTTGAGGGTGGACGGTGGGGAGGAGGGCGGGGAGGGGAGAGAGGAGGGACGAGAGGAGGGGAGAGAGGAGGGCGGAGCAGAGGAGGGGATTGGGCAGGAGGAGAAGGAAAAGAGGGGTGGGAGGAGTAGGGAGGAGGGGAAGGAGGAGAAGGAGAAGGGGAGGAAGGAAGAGGAGAAGCAGGAAGGGAAGAGAAGGCTAAAAAAAGGGGTGGAGGCAGAGGGATGTAAGGCAAGGGGAGGGGAGGAGGAGGAGGGAGAGCAGAGCGATGAGTCAATGGATGAGTATGGGGATAGCTGCAAGCGCTGCCACGAAGTTGGCTTCATGCTGTGAGTGTCCCTGCCTCTTTTCTTCAGATCTCTCAAAAGTCATATCGTTCCCACGGAAATGCATACGTTGTAACATGGATCTCGCATTTCGCCCGTATTTCCCCTCCATGTTACCCTGTCTTGCTACATGTCACCCCACCCTAACATACCTCGTTGGGAACCCGTTGCCTTCTATTGTCCGTCTGGATGTGAGTCGCTCTCCATTCCGCTTTCTACTGCCCAAACACCCTCCCCTTTCACCAGCTGCTGTGACGGCAAGGCATGCAGCGCCACATACCACACCTGCACTCCTCCCCTGCCTCTGCTCCTCTCACCAGACTCACCTCTTTATCCCCTCCCCTTTCGCATTCCTTTGTTTCCCCTTCATTCCTTCCCTCTCCCGCTGCCCTCTGGACCTCAACCACACAATTGCTCCTCTCTCCCTTCTCCCCCCCCCCCCCTCCCCCCCCTCACCAGTTGCTGTGATGGCAAGGCATGCAACGCCACATGCCACCTGCACTGCCTGGACCCTCCCCTGCCTCTGCTCCTCTGTACACTCAACTCTTCCCCTCCCGCTCCTGTCCCTCATCTTCCCCCTTCTTCCACAGTTGCTGTGACGGCAAGGCATGCAGCGCCACATACCACCTGCACTGCTTGGACCCTCCCCTGGACGACGTCCCCCCTGGTCTCTGTTTCTGCCCTGACTGCACCCACAAGCGCTTCTCCCTGATTTTTCAGTCAAATACCCCATCCCCCTCCCCATTCCCCCACCCCCACCTTCCCTCCACCTCAGTTGCTGTGAAGGCAAGGCATGCAGCGCCACATACCACCTACACTGCTTGGACCCTCCCCTGGACGACGTCCCCCCTGGTCTCTGGTTCTGCCCTGACTGCACCCACAAGCGCTTCTCCCTGGGAGTGCATGCGGTGGTGAGGCGGGCAGTTGAATCCATCTGGGATTTCCGGGCAGCTTCTGGTGTTTTTTCTGCCCGGGATTCCACTGGTGCTACTGCCAGTGCTGCTGCCGCTGCCTCCCTGCCACGCCTCTCCACTCCTCTCACCTCTGGTGTTACAGCCACTGCCACAGCTGCTGCTACAGCCACTGCCCCAGCTGCTGCTACAGCCACTGCCCCAGCTGCTGCTACAGGCGGGGGTGGTGCTGTATGGTATGAGCACCATCATCAGAGGCGCCACTACTGCGAGTATCCCACTACCCAAGACGACCACCACGAGCATTGCAAATTCAAACCATCCCAGGAGAGCCTCTCTGCTCTTTGTGGCTGTGAGAGAGAGCGCTTGATTGCAGAAACACCTGGGGAGGCAGGAGCACCCAGGGGGGATGGGACTGAGGGGGCTGTGGTTGGGGAACTGGAAGGCAAGTGTGAGTCTACTGGGGAGGGGAGTGAGAGTGAGAGAAGTGAGGAGGAGGAGGAGGAGGAGGAGGAGATTCCCACCATGGCAGTGTGGGTCGTTGAGGAGGAGAGGGGGGAGGAGGATAGGGGGGCGGAGGGGAGGGAGGAGGAAAGGGTAAGGGAGGAGGAGGGGAGGAGCAACGAGGATGGAGACAGGCAGCAGTTAGTGCAAGGTCAGCAGCAGCAGGTGCAGCAGGGAAAGCAGCAGCAGCAGCAGCAGCAGCAGCAGCAGCAGCAGCAGCAGCTGGAGCAGCAGCAGCAGCAGCAGCAACAACGTCAAGTGGGGAGGGAAGGGGGAGAGGGAAGAGTGCTTGATGTACGAATGACCAGCTCTCGTGATCAGTGTGGTGCAGGGCGGTTGAGAGGTGCAGCAGCAGGGGCGGCAGAGTCAGCAAGGGCTCGAAAGGAGCAGGGCAGTGCTGGGCCGGTGAGAGGGAGGAGCGGAGGAGGGAGAGGAAGAGGTGGAGGAAGAGGAGGAGGAAGAGGAGGAAGAGGAGCAGTAGCAGGGGGAGGGGATGGGGGGAGGAGTGAGAGGATGGGGCAAGAGGTGAATAAGCCAGGAAGACGGTTGGAAGATAGAGTAGGGTTACCTAGAGTAGAAAAGGAAGGGGAGGGGGCTGGCATTTCTGTGTGTGCTGGTGGGATCAAAGATGCCATACTTGGTGGTGGCGATGGTGGTGGTGATGCTGCTGCTGCTGGGGGTGGTACTGGGACAGCTAAGTGCGATTACTTTGTTAAGTGGAAGGGATTATCCCACGCACACAACAGCTGGGTGGGCGAGGCTTGGCTTGCAAGCAATGCTCCCAGGCAGCTCGCGATCTTTAAAGCCCGGGCGGTCACTGTTGAGGTGAGACGATACGAGGGGGTTAATACGCAGGTGTTCGCTTGTTATATTCTTTAGAAGCATGCACGCGCACAACAGCTGGGTGGGAGAGGCTTGGCTTGCAAGCAACGCTCCCACACAGCTTGCGATCTTTAAAGCCCGAGCGGCCACTGTTGAGGTGAGACGATACGAGGGGGTTAATACGCAGGTGTTCGCTTGTTATACTCTTTAGAAGCATGCACGCACACAACAGCTGGGTGGGCGAGGCTTGGCTTGCAAGCAACGCTCCCACACAGCTCGCGATCTTTAATTCCCGGGCAGCCACAGTGGAGGTGAGTGAGAGACGATACACAGGTTAGCTTTGAGTCGACCCAAAACTAGACGATACACAGGTTAGCTTTGAGTCGACTCAGAACTAGACGATACACAGGTTAGCTTTTAGGGATATTCAACATACCCACGTGCACAGGGTCTTGATGGGGGGATGGGCTGGGGCAGAAGCAGGGGGGAAGGGGTTTGGGGTACATTAGAGCCTCCTTCCTCCCTGTTCTTAAGGTGTCTTTGTGAATGCCAAGTGATCAACCCCTTTCCTTGCTTCCATCCTGTTAGAAATATCTTCCTGTTGTAACCTGCATTCATGCTATGAAGATCGGGTAGAGATAAGCACCCAACTTTAGGTTGGGTGTACATCTAGGGTTAACCCAAAGTTGGGGTTGAGACCCAACCTTTGGCCCAAATTATTGGACCCCAAAGGTTGGGTTGGGAACATTATTGCTCCCCCTCCAATAATGTTGACGCAACTCAAGAGTGGTCAACATTATTGGAGGCCCTCCAATAATTCACTACCCAACATATTGGAGGGACTCCAATAATGTTGACTACCTCCCCCCATCTCTTCCCAACTATGTAAACCCTAGGTTTCCTCAGTTCAATCATCAACTTCTATTCAAACTTTGTCTCTCACACATCCATCAGCATCTCCCCTCAGTGCTCCAACTCTCTCCACCCTTTCCATCTCCCCATCCCCTTCCTCCTTCGCCTCCCTTATTCCCCCTTACAGTTCTCCCCCACGCGGAACCCCCACTGGGCCCAACCAAAGAAGCGGGTCACCAGGCCACCTGTAATGCCGGGGGGGGGCTGTGGTCGGGGGAAGAGGCAGAGGTGCTGCCCCAGAGCCTGGTATAACATGACCTTTTTTCCACCCTGTTCCCCCTTTCACTCCATTGAAATCACTTTTGAGAATTCTCAAAAGTGATTTCAATATGGCAGAGGCAGAGGTGCTGCCTCACAGCCTGATATAACATAACCTCCTTTCCACCCTGTTCCCCCTTTCACTCCTCCGGTTCTGCCCCACGCGGAACCCCCACTGGGCCCAAACAAAGAAGCTCGTAGCCAAGCAAATCATCAGACCCCCTATAAGACCGGGAGGTGAGAGGAAGGGGGAACAGGGGGAGGGGCTATAACAGTCTCTCCTTACTTCCTTTTTTCCTTCCCTTCTCCCCCATCCCTCCCTTCAGTTCTGCCCCACATGGAATCCCCACTGGGCCCAACCAAAGAAGCTCATAGCCAAGCAGGTCACCAGACCACCTATAAGACCGGGGGCAGGCCGGGGCAGAGGCAGGGGGTACCGGCCCGACTGGGGGGTGGAGTTTTTTGTCCTGTGGCGAGGGCTGGGCTATGAACAGTGCACGTGGGAGCCGGCCAATGGGAGCGTGCTGCAGGGGGCTGCCGGGCGGCGTTTGTTGGCACGGTTCTGGGAGAGGGAGCAGGGGGAGCAGGGAGGAGGGGTGGTGGAGGGGGGGAGAGACGGCAGGGGAGAAGGAGTTGGGGTTTTGACGACACAACGGCATGCTCTGCACGCCATACCAGATCGCTTTGTGCCGCACTGGATCGCAGTGTCTGACGCCCCGATGCAGCAGCAGCTGGGGAATCTGAACGCCCTTAGGAGTCGGTGGCGGGAGTGTGGACCTTTGGGCAGTGGGGAGAGTGGTGGGGGGGCGAGAGGGAGGAGGAAGAGCAGCAGGCAGCTGGGACAGTGGGGCGTGCTGCAAGGCGTGAGCTATGAGGTGAGTTTGCAGGAGGGAGGGGGGAGGTGGGGGGGAAACTTGGGGGGGTGCAGGTAGCAGGGACAGTGGGGCGTGCTGCAAGGCGTGAGCTATGGGGTAAGCCTAGAGGGGTGGGAGAGCAAGGAGGTTTTTTTTTTTTTAGACGCTTCAGAAGTTGGCAGCACGGCACGATTAACCTTGCCTTTTTGGAGCCAGTTGTGACGTGAGAAGAGGGGAGAGGAGGGATCTTTTTTGAAAGGAGTGAAAGTAGTGAGAGGTGGAGGGACATGTGGATGTGCGATGAGGTGACTTTTGAGTCGACTCAAAAGTCACCTCGTTACAATGGCACACGACACATTTTTGAGTCGACTCGAAAGTCACCTCGTTACCATGGCACACGACACATTTTTTAGTCGACTCGAAAGTAGTGAGAGGTGGAGGGACATGTGGATGTGCGATGATGAGCAGACAGCTGTGAGGTGCGCAGGACAGATGTGAGGTGCGCAGGTCAGATATGAGATGCGGTGGGGTGTGATTTGTAATCAGCATGCTGCTTCTCCATTCTCACCAGTCTCTCTTTTCCTGTCTCCCTCCACCCGTCTCTCTTCTTCCTGTCGCCCTTCTCCCTTCTCCATATGCCTCTCCCTTCTCCATATTCTTCTCCCTTCTCCATATTCCTCTCCCATCTCCCCATACTTTCGCCACCAGGCAAACCGGTTCGTGCTGGCAGCATTCCTGTGCACGCAAGCTCGTGACTTCCACTGTCCCACAGATGTCACAACTGCCACAGCTGCTACAGCTGCTGCGGCGAGTGAAGCCACAGCAGCCGCTGCCGCTGCTGCCGCTACAGCCACTGCTGGGACTACAGGTGCTGCAGGCACTACAGCCGGACGCGTGAGACCGAGTCTGCTGGTAGTGCCTGGCACGGCTGTAGCGGCGTGGGAGGGGCTTCTAGAGCAGAGGGCGCCAGAGCTGAGTGTGACTGTATTGAGGGGCAGTGCTGGGACTAGGGAGGTGATTAAACGGTGGGAGCTTAAAAAGGAAGTGGAGAGAGGAGGAGGGGGAGAGGAGAGAGGAGGAGGAGGAGGAGGAGGAGGAGGAGGAGGAGGAGGAGGAGGAGGAGGAGGAGGAGGAGGAGGAGGAGGAGGCGTGAGAAGAATGGACGGTGGTAGTGAGGGGGGTGGGGATGGAGAAAGGGAGGAGGGAAGGGTGGGGAAGATGAGGGTCAGGGCTGATGTGGTCATCACCACTCCTCTTATCTTCTCCATGGTAAGTATCTTTGAGGCCCCTCAATAATTGTGGTTAAGAGACGACTTTTGAGGCGCCTCGATACGGGAGGGGGGAAGGGTGGGGAAGACGAGGGTCAGGGCTGATGTGGTCACCTCACCATGGCACCTCGAACCTTCTCCATTGTAAGTACCACGACCCTTGAGGCGCCCCGAAACGGGAGGAGGGAAGGGTGGGGAAGAAGAGGGGTGCCTTTTCGTGTGCCTCTTTGTGCGCCTTTTCAGGCTTCTCGAATTCTTGAGTCTCTGACTTGAGCTCACCATGCCCTTAACAGTATCAAGTCCAATACCTGAGCTCAGCATGTGCCTAGCAGTTTTAAGTCCCACGCAGCAGCGGGCGCCATTACATAATTCTTCACGCATCTTGTTCCTCCGCACGCTACCACAAGAGCGTTCATACCTGGAGGAGGTGGCATGGGGCGCCATAGCAGTGGACAGCAGCACATCACAGTCACTCCCCACCATCTCACCATCCCCCCCCCGCATCACCACCCCCCACCACAGGAGCATTCTTACCTGGAGGAGGTGGCGTGGGGTGCCATAGCAGTGGACGGCAGCACAAAATTACTCACTCATATCTCGCACCGTTCCCCAAACACCTTGCAATCCCCCATTACAGGAGCGTTCATACCTTGAGGAGGTTGCATGGGGCGCCATAGTAGTGGACGGCAGCACGCAGCTGTGGTCGGCGCACGAGGCCAGTGCCGCCCGCTCCATGGGGTGGCCGCGTTCCGTCTTTTCCCTGCACGCCTGCCTGCGCGTTCTGCTCGCCCCACGCGAGCCCCAGGTGTGTTTGACATCCGACATTTGGAGGAGAGCGATTCTACACATCTTTTACATTTGAAACTTGATGCACTAGTGGTTTCACGTGTGACGTTTGAGATTCAAGTTTTTCTAATGTCATCAGTAGGTTCCCCCCCTATGTTGCCTGTGCCGAGTGCTTTGTGATGCTCTTGCACTTATGCGTGCCCTTCACGGTTTCAAGCATGGATGGCATGTGTTCTCCTAGTCCGTCATGTGTTTTAGGGAATTAACATGTGGGTGAGTCCTTTCCATGTCTAATGGCCTTCATGTTTGTCTCAATGTTCGCTTCTCCTGTGTCGTTGTGGGCGCAGGCATACAGCTGGGATGCCGGAGATGTCGCAATCATGCTTTGCGACAGTCGCCTCACCTCATAGTCCACTACGTTTAACCAATTAGTGAGCAGCTTCTTTTAGAATGCAATACCCGGTTCAATGGCTGTACATAAATTGCATAATGGGGAGGAGCTGGTGTTTAGGGTTTGAAAGTAAGATGATACATATCTTTTCAATATATATTGAGTATGTGCCATGGGCACACCCACCGTTGTTACTGTTATTGTTGTACTGTTAATTGTATATATCGAACAATGGCACTTACTGTTGAAGTCCACGTGCACACTGCAGGACCACGCGGACGAATCCGAGATATGCCTTTTTTACCTGAAATCCGGAAAAGTGCTCAGCGCTGGGCTATCCGTGTTGTCAAAATTATTCGGCTTGCTGTCGCTTTTTCTAAAGATATTTGTATGTAGATTCACACGCTAGCCACTCGCACACAAATCCCTCAGTCGCGCCGCTCGATATGGCCGATGGAATTGACAAGCAGCCAAAAGGTCGTTGATCCTAGGTTGATCTCACCGTTCAAAGAAGAAAGAGTATTTTCATCGACGGTAAGGATCATTTGTGTCACGTGACTCCCGGTGGCGAGGTTGCAAAAAATCGGATTCTCCTTAATGAGCTGGCACACGAGGATATCCGCTGGGTCGACGATGGGTTCGCCAACAACACCAGCAGTGCAATCAGGGCAGCTGAAGCATGGCAAAATCTAGCGACATCACTGGTCCGTTTGGACACTTAGGAGCTTTTGTTAAAAAAGCAACCATTACGGGCAGCAGGGATGAAACCAAATCCTTGGGAACAGTCACCGTGTCCACACGCAAAGCATTCCCGCCAGCCAACCAATCCTGAGAGCCATTTTGTGCACTTGCCTGCGCGGCATAGCTCCTCTGTCATTTTCCGCGGAAAGGGGCAGCGTCTTTGGTGACTGCCTGGCGGGCTGGCAGACTGGCACGCTGCTCTCCGCTCCGCCGGTGGTGATGGGAGAATACAGGACAGTGTATCTCAGCCTTGAGGTTTGTTCGCCCTAAAGCGGACGGAAAGGACCAACCAGTGCCGACCGGGGCTGGACTTCCGCACACAACACCTCTATGCCCCCGAACCAAGCTTCCCTTTCCCCCCAACCTCCCCCCCCATGCCTCCGATGCGCCACTTTGCCAGAACACAACACAACAGACTGCCAGCCACCCAAAGCCTCCCTCCTCCCACACATCCCTCTCACAGTCACACAATTCATCCCTTCACCCTCACGCCTCACTCGCACAGCACAGCAGCTTCATTCAACCACACCCCTCACGTGCATCTGTTATCTCCATCCCTCTCCATCCACTGAGCCCTACGAGAGTTGTGAGGAGACACGGACCACCGAAAGTTGTGTTGCGTCTGCTGCTTGTTCTGAGAGGCTCCTTCGCAAGGGTTGACTTGTGAACGGCTGTTTTTGAAAACCGTTAACGTACTCAAGCTTCAGCTGTAGGTCATTCCGTACTTTCGACAACTAAACCGTTGAAACGTTTGTCCGTTTTACCACGTCGTTTCATACAAAAGACTAGTTTATGCGCAAAACGGTCTTTGCGGGGCCTGTAACCTGCCGTCGTTCACGAATTACGATATCGAACTCCCGCCTTCGCAAGCTTTTCTTATCAAGCTTAGATCCATTATTAGGTCGAGCACGCGACACGGATTGTTTCGGGTTCGATTTTTTATCGGATCCGATTAATGGATGGCGTCGTCGTGACCTCGTCGCTTGACCGGTCATCGCCTCCCATGCAATCTCCGCGTCGCTACACTCCGTCCCCGTTTGTATCCCGTAATTCCGGCTTTCCGAGTGCGTTACCCGACGCTAGAGAATCAGCTGGAAGCCTTCCGACCTCTTTTGACGGGAGCTACGTCACTCCCATAAACGCGACGACAGGTCGAGCCCCCACACACGCGATAGCTACTAGCCAATTAATAATAGCAAGTCGAGCCGCCTCGTTGCATCAAAATTCTCCATCTTCGTTAGAGCAACTCATAGCACTGCGACCTGGAACTGAGCAGAAAAAGTTTGGGGAAAGCCGCACCGTCGATTTTTCAGATCGGACGGCGCAGCGCGCTCCTGTGAATAGCGGAGGTGTTTCTGGAGGCTCGAGGCCTTTTGTGTACAGTAGAGCGGACGTAGAACCAGAACCTGGCATGGAGTACAGAAGGGACTACGATAGGCAGCGAGGGGAGGGATTACGATACGCGGAGCGAGAAGGGTACTCGGAGCAAGGAGGGTTACCATTCTCAGAGCACGAGTTTCGACAACGTTTCGCCAACCCCTCGACGTCGCAAGCACTCGTTTTAGCAGAAGGGACTTCGTTTCTACCGCGTTTTTCTGACGATGGTGACTCAGACGAGGGCTCCCGTCCCGTTATAAGCCCGAATACGAGGTTCGCCCGTCATGTGGTTGAGACGCTATCGCGTTCGATTGAGGACGACGCGGGGGAAGGAGGTGCGGGATGTCCGCTGGCGGAAGGACAGCGATGGGTCAATGACAGGGGGGACGCGGGGGAAGAACACGGCGGAGGGGTGTCGCAACGATCGGCGGGCGAACAGTGGGAGGGAGAGGAAGGAGCGTCGCGAGGTAGAGCTGCTTTGCAACGGGATAGGAGGGGGGAGAGTTTGCAACGGGATACGAGAGGGGAGAGCTCGCGACGGCCGTGGGGCTCACAGGAGGTTCGCTTTCCAACGCAAGGGCGTGACGCGTCGCAATTTCAGGGGCGAAGCGAGCGCGCCGACGTGCGTGGGAGCGGAAGCGGGGACGCGAGGCGGGGAAACCAGCGCGTGATTGCGGAGGACGGTCCGCGCGAGCGGGTGGATCCGCGCTCTGGTTCGAACTTACCTGTAAAGTCTGACCGGCAGCCCAAGCGCGGCCTTTCCGTTAGGGTTGACGGCCTTTGCGAGGGGGCCGTCGGGGGAGGTTACGCGGAGGCGGGTGGCGGCGGAAGGAGCGCGGAAGCTGGAGGGGGGAACTTCTCCGCGCTGAAGGCGGGCGCGGAGCGGAGCAGGCGGAACTTGACGGCGGTGGACGGTGCAGTTCCCGTAATCGCCGACGGGCAGCTTCAGCGAAACGGAACGTGGGTAGACGGTTTGGAAAAGTCACTTTCGGCGCCTGTACTTCCGGACGGTGTGTATGACGGTAGCGGGGGTGCTTTTAACGGGGACGAGGGCAGCCCGTTGGGTTCAGCACACGGAGCTACGTCCGGAGGGATGGACGGCGATGGAAGCACCGCGTTTGGCGCTTCTGTCGCTGCTGAAAGGAGACCCGCGCCTTCCTACGGATGCCCCAGAGGCGTGCTGGGCGCTCGTTCGTCCGTTTTCGCTTCCCTCCCCTCCACCTCCTCCGGTTTTGGAGCCCTTCCCTCTGATATGCCGTCGCCGTTTCCCTCCGGCTTGCCCGCCGCGCTGTCGTGTCCCCCTGTGAGGGGGAAACGCGCGGGGTTGGAGGGCGCGGGCGCGGACGCGCGGGGGATTTCTCCGCGGAGTGGCGCATTCACCGGACGCTCGAGCGGGAACGAGTGGGAAGAGGCGGTTTTGCGCGGGGGGGAGGAGGAGAGGGCGGAAGTACGGTTGCAGCGCGGGCGCGGGCGGGAGAATTCGGCGGACGGGGAACGCGCGCTGTTCGCCCGGCCTAGGGACCGCGAGCCGGCGATTGGGCGGGGGAATATCGGCCGAGAGGCAGCAGCGGCAGCAGGGGGCGGAGGAAGCAGCAGAGGAAAGTTCGTTTACGGAAGGGCAGGAACGGCAGGAACGGAGAAGAACAAGGTTCAGACCAGCACCGCTTGGGGAGCAGCAGGGTGTGATTTTGAACCGGAGGTTGAGGCAGAGGCAGAGGCAGGGGCAGGGGCAGAGGCAGGGGTGGGTGGCGAGCGGATGGGATGGGCGGAAGGGGGGCACAGCGGAGCGTGGGGCTCTGAGCGTGAGTATGAGCATCAGCGGGTGCGGCAGCAGGCACAGCAGAAGCAGTTGCGGCGGCAGGAGCAGCAGCAGCAACGGGAGCAGCGGGAGCAGCAGCAGGACAGGATGAGGGAACAGACGGGAGCTGCGTTGGGCGAGGAGGATCGCTGGGGTAAACGACAGGCTTGGTGTGGTAACCCGGTTACCATTGGCCCAAGCTCAGGCGTGGAGGCATATACCGAGGAGATGGAGGCGAGGAGTGACAGGTGGGGGACACGGCCGTCGCGTGAGTCTGTAGATTCCGAGGAGCTGAGCCCGGAAGAGAGGAGAAGAGTGATGGAGATCCGAGCACGCAGAGCAGCAGCAGCGGCGGCGGCGGCGGCAGCAGCAGCAGCGGCGGGGGCGGGAGCAGCGGGTATGGATCATCTGGGTCGCATGGGGGGCGGGGCGGCCTGTTTGGAGGAGGATGTGCCTGGGGTGGGTGGGCTTGGTAGTCTTGGCATGGACTTTATGGGTGCGGAGGCGATGGGTGGTGTAGGTGGGGCAGTGGCCGGTATGGATGACCTGCAGGTGGGTAGAAGCCCGAGGGAGTATGGCGTGAAGGGGGGGAGAAAGAGGAGTATGTCGCCTGGAGGGAGGAGTGAGAGGAGCGCGTGGAGCGGGCGCAGTGGGAGGAGCGGGAGGAGTGGGAGGAGCGGGAGGAGCGGGAGGAGCGGGAGGAGCGGGAGGAGTGGGAGGGAGCATTGGGCACAGCCAAAGCATGTTTCTGTGAAGAGGAGGAGGAATGGCGAGTGCAGAAGCAGCATCGACCCTCAAGAGCAGCAGCAGTCGCCACTCTGCACGCCTGAAACGATGCAATCGTTTATGGCTTTCCAAGCTTTCATGAGCCAACAGCAACAGCAGCAGCAGCAGCAGGAGCAGGAGGAGCAGCAGGGTTCGTTTGTGCTTCCTCCCATCACTCCTGAGTCTATACACGCGTTTCTGGCCTTTCAAAGCTTCATGGGCCAACAGCAGCAGCAGCAGCAGCAGCAGCAGCAGCAGCAGCAGCAGCAGCAGCAGCAGCAGCAGCAGCAGTCACTACGGCAACAGGAGGACGGGCGGGATGAGCAGGAGCAGGACGAGCGGAATGGGCGAGAGCGGCAGCCGAGGCAGCAGGGGAAGGAGCCGAGGGAGCAGCAGAGGGAGCAACAGCAGGGGCAGCAGCGGAGAGAGACGTTTCTCCGTCCACCTCTACCCGCGCAGCAGCGACGCCCCTCCAAGTCTCCCGAGCTCGTCACCCAGCGCACTAATTCTGCCTCCCGCTCCTCCGCCCCTCGCTCCCCCCACTCCTCCGCCCCTCGCTCTCCCCTCTCCTCGTCCCTCCCCCCCGCACTCCGAGCCTCCTCCCCCGCTCCCCGCATGCCATCCCCCTCCCTTTCGCCTGCCCCCTCCGCCGCCCCTAGCAGCCCTTCCCCCTCCCCCCGCCCCCTGGCGCTCTTTGAGCGCATCACCCGCCGCCGCCAGACCAGCCCTAGTGGCGCGCGCCCCCCTTCCGCCAGTGGCAGGCCCCCTAAGTTCCCCTCGCGCGCCACCCCCCCCGCTGCTTATAGCGGAGAGGGAGATGGTAGAGATTATAACCCGTATGCCCAGGCAGGAGGGAGGGGAGGGGGTAGCCGACTGGGGAGCGAAGGGGGGGGTATGGGGGGGTTGAGGGAAAATGGTCATGAAGGATCCGATTATAGGGAGGGGAGTAGAGGGAGCGGGAGGGAGAAGGGGTGGGGCGTGGGCGGTAAGGGAAAGCGGCAGGGGATGAGGAGGGAAGAAGCAGAGGGTAGTGAGAGGGGGAGGGCAAGTGAGAGGGAGAGTGAAGAGGAGGTGCTGTTGAGAATGCAGAGGTTGGAAGCGGAAATCAGGAATGGCCATCAGCACGAACAGCAGCGCCAGCAGCAGCAGGACCAACAGCTGCAATTGCAGCAGGAGCAGCGACAGCAGCAGCAGCAGCGTTCCCCCACCCCTCCATCAAACCCCTTCTCCACCACGCCAAACCCCTCAGCACCTCTCCAAACCAACAACACCTTCCCCTCCTTCACACCGACCTTCCCTCACAGCCCTTCTGATGCTCCAGCCGTTTCTGCCGTCTCTGCTGCCATTGCTGCCACTCCAGATGCCCCTGGCGCTGGCACTCAGTTGCCAGGTCTTCTCACAGGCGTGAATCCCAATAGCATGAATCCCACTAGCATGAATCCCAATAGCATGAATCCCACGTCTCCCTCCCCTCCTCCTCACTTTTTCGGCACCTCTCCCTTCCAGTCCCTAGCTTCCCCCGCCTTTCCCAACCAGGCCCTCCCGAACCCCCTTCTCCCGAACCAGTTCCTGCCAAACCAGCTCCTTCCGAACCAAATCCTCGCGAACCAGCTCCTCCCGAACCAACTCGCACAGGGCTCCCAAACCCCAGTCGTATCCATGCCTTTCGCCCCACCCACTCTCTCAATCCCTCTCTTTCACCCTCTCTCAGGTCCTTCTATGCACCTCCGAGCATTAGTAGGCCTACAGGCCGAATCCCAGCAGAGCAATTCCGTCTCCCTGCCTGCTGGTGGGGCTGCTGTGGGGATTTCCCCGGCTGGAGGGGGGTATTTCTGTGGTGCCCCTGGCACGGCGGCGGCTGGAGGGTGTTTAGCCGGTGCTGCTGCAGGGATGGCGTCTGGAGCGCTGGGGCTTGCGGGAACAGGTGCTGGGGTTGCTGCAACTGCAGCGGGGATGCTGGGGTGTGGTGCTATGGGTGCTGCAGGGTCGGGTGCGGTGCTGATGAGTGCGCAGGTGTCCCCGCAGATGGCTCTGCTACAGAAGTACCAGCAGTACCAGCAGCAGCTGCTGCTGCAGCAGCAGGGGAGGCAGGGGCAGCAGGGGCAGGGGCAGGGGCAGGGGCAGGGGCAGGGGCAGCAGAGGCAGGGGCAAGGTGCAAGAGGAAGTGGGCAGGAGGGGAATGGAGGGACTGGCAAGAGAAGTAGTCAGAGGGAGGAGGAGAGGCGCGGAGTGAGTGGGAGAGGAGAAGAGGAGGCGAGGAGAGTGAATGAGGGTGAGAGGAGAGGAGGGGTTGATGTGGATGGTGGTGATGGTGATGATGGGGGTAGCGAGGAGAATGGAGAGGAGGAAAGGGAGGAGGAGGAGGAGGAGGATGGGTGGACAAGGGACCTATCTCGGAGCAGAGGCAGGAGTAGGAGTTGGGAGAGTGAGAGTGAGAGCGAGAGTGAGGGAGGTAGCTCAGTGAACAGGCTATCGAGTAGACTAGAGGGGAGGAGGAAGAAGAGGAGGAGAAGGAGAAGGGAGGAGGAAGATGATGAAGAGGATGAGGATGATGAAAACGAGGGGGACAGCAGGGAGGTATCAGAGAGGGAGGAAGAGAGGCTGAGGAAAAAGGAGGCTGAGGTTAGGAGGCTTATCCAAGAAACGAGCGTTTTGCAGCAGATGGCACAGGCGCAGGTTCGGGTACAAGCTGAGGTGCAGGTTCGGGCCCAGGCTATGGCGCAGGCTCAGATGCAGCAGGCTCGGGTGGTGCAGGCTCGGGTGCAGGCAGCAGCGGCAGCACAGGCACAGATGCTCGCAGCTTCCCAAGCCTCCCTGCTGGCTCAGACTCGGGGGATGGGTTCGCCTATGTGTAATCTGATGGGGTTGGGGCAGCTGAACGGGCAGATGAACGGGCAGTTGAACGGGCAGCTGAACGGTTTGCAAGGCGCGCTCAGTCCTCCTCCCATGAGCTTCCAGGGCTCCTTGGGCTCCTTGCTTAGCCAGGCCAACCCTCTCAACCCCACTGCGCTCAACCCCACCGCTCTCAACCCCTCTGCACTGAACCTCTCTGCTCTCACCCCCTCTGCCCTGCACGCGTTGTCTGCCAACCCTGCTGCTCGGGCCCTCTCAGGGTTCAACGCCTCTTCATTCAACGCCTCCTCATTCAATGCTTCTTCCTTTTCCGGTTCACCCCTGCGTCCCTCCTCCCCCTTCCACCCATCTTCCCCCTTCCACCCCTCCTCCCCATTCCATCCCTCGTCCCCATTCAACCCTCCCGGCAGCTCTCTGCTTGGCAATCCCCCCTCGAGTTCCCTCGATGGCAATCCCACCAGTACCTCTCTCAACAACAACCCCCCTACCAGCCAATCCCTCAACGCCAATCCCCCCACCAGCTCTTTGCTTGGTAACCCTCCCACAAGCGCTCTGAACGGTGGCCTTCAGGGCCAGGAGGGCGTTCCGTCTATGCAGCCCTTCCAGTCGGCCCAAAGAGATGCTTCAGAGGGGAATACGCGCATCAATGCTTCAGGCAGCACGGGGAGCGGGCTTGATGCGCTCAAGTCCTTCGAAGCTTTCCAGGCGTTTCAGGCCTCTCAGGGTTTGCAGTCGGTTCAAGGGGAGGGTTTAGAGGGGAATGCGGGGGGTGCTGCCCCTCCTGCCGTTGATGCTGCATCGCCGTGTGGGTTGGCCGAGGGGTTGAGAGGGGTGGAGATGGGCGGGGAACGGGGGGTGGTGCGGGTGGTTTTGGTGCTGGAAGGGAGAGGGAGGGGGAAGAGGAGGAAGAGGAGGAGAGGGAGGAAGAAGAGAGGGAGGGGGAGGGGGGGGGAGAGGGAGAGAGGAGAAGGATGCAGGAAGGGAGGCAGCAAGGGGGGCAGGAAGGGGGGCAGGGAGGAGAGTGTGAGGAAGCAGCGGGCTGGCAGGGAAGGGAAGGTGAGGGGGCAGCTGGTTGGCAGGGCATGCAGTTGGTCGTGCATTCTAGTAGCATGCCTTTCGGCTCTCGAGGACTGGGGCGGGTTTGCTCAGGCAATGGGGGAGAGGGTGATGGGGAAGGGGATGAGGGGGAAGAGGGTGAGGAGGGAAGGGGTGAGGAGGGAGGGGGTGATGTGGGAAGGGGTGGTGAGGGAGGTGGTGATGGGGGAGAGGAGACAGGGCAATACAATATGCAAAGCCCTGGGGATTACTTTAGTGGGCGGCAGCAGCAGCAGCAGCTGCAACAATTTCAGCTTCAGCTTCAGCAGCAGCAGCAGCAGCAGCAGCAGCAGCAGCAGCAGCAGCAGCAGCAGCAGCAGCAGCAGCAGCAGCAGCAGCAGCAGCAGCAGCAGCAGCAGCAGCAGCAGCAGCAGCAGCAGCAGCAGCAGCAGCAGCAGCAGCAGCAGCAGCAGCAGCAGCAGCAGCAGCAGCAGCAGCAGCAGCAGCAGCAGCAGCAGCAGCAGCAGCAGCAGCAGCAGCAGCAGCAGCAGCAGCAGCAGCAGCAGCAGCAGCAGCAGCAGCAGCAGCAGCAGCAGCAGCAGCAGCAGCAGCAGCAGCAGCAGCTTCCCCCCCCCCCCGCAGCAGGAAGCTCCTTCGCCCACATGCCCGCCCCTCGCCTCCCCATCCCCCACTCGGAATTCACCGCTTCCCTCCCCTCACCGCTCTCCCCTTCCCTCCCCTCACCGCTCTCCCCTTCCCTCCCCTCACCGCTCTCCCCTTCCCTCCCCTCACCGCTCTCCCCTTCCCTCCCCTCACCGCTCTCCCCTTCCCTCCCCTCACCGCTTGCCCTTTCCCTCCCCGCACCCCTCTCCCCTCCCACAGTTCAAGCCAAATCAACATATTCCTCATCCCTCCTCTCCCCTTCCCACTGCTCCTCCTCCCCACGCCCACTCTCGTTTTGACATGTCACCTCCGCCTCCCCACAACCGTTCCAGCACTCCTGCAGTTTCACGCCCAACCACCCCTCCTTCTGCTCCTCCTTCCATCCCCACCGCTTTTGAGACCTCTCAAAAAACACCCCCAGTTTCACGCCCACCCACCCCTCCTTCTCCTTGCATCCCCAACGCTCTATCCGCTCCTCCTTCCCCCCACGCATCTCCTGTCCCCCGCCCTTCGCCTCCCCCCACCAACCGTGCCTCTCCCAACCTCCCTCCCCGCAGCCTAACTCCCCCAGACCTCCCTCCGAACCTCTCTCCTGCGAACGTCACTCCCCCGAACGTCCCTCCCCGTTCCCCTACCCGTAGCCCTCTCAACACCCCTACACGCCCGCCCTTCCCCCCTCAACCTCGCTCCCTGCCTGCCTCCCATGCTACCAAGAATGGAAACACAGATAACACTGTTAATACTGGTAACACAGGTAACACAGATGACACTGGTAACACTGGTAACAAAGAAATGTGCATAGAACCGCCCTCCCCCCCTGGCTCATCAGACCTTCCCGTCTCTTCCACCCGTTCCACCCACTCGGTTGGGAACGAGGATGGTAGCTTCGGGTGGCACACCGCGCCAGGCTCGGGCACACCGACACAAGCCCCGAACCAGAATCTGCGGCGGATTGGGCAGGTGAACCAGCTGAGTCTGGACGCGTCCAGGAGCTCTGGGCATTCGGTTGGGACGATCAAAGCAGCCTCGGTTTCAGGTTCGGGCAACCAAGGCCCGGCGGTTGGTTCGGCGCCAGGCTCGGGCCAAGGCTTGGGCAGCAGCACCAGGCCTGGCGTAGGCCCGCCCATGCCTGGGGGTTCGCCTAGAGTCCCCCGAGGGTTTGGGTCTTTGGTGATGGGGGGACTGGCAGGAGGAGGAGGGGGAGCGAAAGCAGGAGCAGGAGGAGCAGCAGGAGCAGGAGGAGCGGGTGCAGCAGCGGGAGGTGCGACAGTGGGAGGTGCGGCAGCGGGAGGTGCGGCAGTGGGAGGTGCGGCAGGGAAAATTGTAACAGGGGGGGATGCGACAGGGGGGGTTGCTGGAGGTACTGGTGTGCCCAGGAGGCAGAGATTCACGCCCCCCCCTCTGCCCTCCCACTCCTTCGCCTCTGCTGCTTCCTCCCCCCTCCCCAGCCCCACTTCTGCTGCCGCTGCTGCTGCTGCTGCTGCTGCATCAAATACAGCTGCTGCTCCTGCCAGTCCCATCAAACCCTCTGCTGCCGCCAATTTAGCCAACCCCACACCCAGTGCTACCGCACCCAACTGCTCCAGTTCCAGACCCTCTACTCCCACCATCCCTACAGCTCCCGCCCTCAGTCCCAGACCCCCCACTCCCACCGCCCCCACTGCCTCCTCTCCTACTCCCACTGCACCCATTCCCACCGCACCCAGTTCCACCGCACCTAATCCCACCGCACCTAATCCCACCGTCCCCAGCAGCAGCAGCAGCAGGCAGCGCCTTCTCCAGGACTACCTGCCGCGACGGTGGCAGCTAGTGTCCCGGCTGGGGGCGCGGCTGAGGTTGGTGGTTGACCGGGGCACGAAGCAGCAGCTGGTGGTGCAGCGCGTGCATGTGGGAGAGAGGAGTGGAGGAGGTGCGGAAGGGGAGGGGGGCGTGGGGGGGCAGGCAGGGCAGTCGGAGAGAGAGCGGCGGATGCACCAGCGGGTTGCGTTGCTGCTCAAGCTCAAGTGAGTGATTGGTTGGGACTGTCCGTCAGGTTTGGAAGCTTTCGTGTTGAAGCCCCAGTGAATGCTCGGCGTTCTCTCTCTGGTTCTAGAGGGGTTGGGGGGGGTGTCAGGGCAATCGGAGGGAGAGCGGCGGATGCACCTGCGGTTTGCATTGCTTTTTGGTTGAGTGAGTGAGTGATTGGTTGAGAGACATAATGGTTTTTGGTTCCAAGACGTGTGGAGAAAGAGAGTTGTTTGGGGGGCAGTCGCATGACAGCCCAGCTTCCCCACCACCATCGCCCCTAAGTATTCCTCCCTCCTTTGCCGTCCCTTGCGCTGCCCTCCTCCCGTTCCCCTTCCCCAGGCATGAGAACATCGTGCCATGTGTTGGCGCCATTCGTACCACCGCACCCTCCCCCGCCACTGGCAGCACCAACGCGAGCGCCAGCCACAACAACAGCAGCAGCAGCGCCGCCGGCGGCGGCATTCACCTGCTGTTTGCGGCGTTTGACTATGTGCCCGTGCCGTCGCTCTCCCACCAGCTCACTGAGTGCGGCCCCATGCCCGAAGAAACCCTCGCCTTCTGCCTTCGCCAGGTGAGCACCCATGAGGTACCATGCAGCACCCATGAGGTACCATGCAGCACCCATGAGGTACCATGCAGCACCCATGAGGTACCATGCAGCACCCATGAGGTACCATGCAGCACCCATGAGGTACCATGCAGCACCCATGAGGTACCATGCAGCACCCATGAGGTACCATGCAGCACCCATGAGGTACCATGCAGCACCCATGAGGTACCATGCAGGCGAATACTGGCAGTACAGGGACCAGTCCCTTGCTGCTTGCGACGTTTCACTCTCCCACCAGCTCACAGAGTGCAGCCCCATGCCCGAAGAAACCCTCGCCTTCTGCCTTCGCCAGGTGAGGCCCGGATAGGTGCTCTGACTCCCCGTGGCAGCGCCTGTGGCATGGAACGACGCTGTAAGGGGGTTTGCATATGTGTGAGTAATATGGATGGAAAAATGCTGTACATGGTGTGTGCGTGCTTGCTTGCTTTTGTCTCCAGGAAAACCTCTTCCTCTGTTCCTGCTAGGTGGTTGAGGCGTTCACAGCCTTCCACCCCCTGGGCATCCCGCATGGTCGCGTGCGTACCAGCAGCGTGTTTGTTCCCGACAACGGCTATTGAGTTGACTAACACGTGAAGCTCCATACTCTCTCCCTCTGTGTCCCCCTCAGGTGGTTGAAGCCTTGGTGGCGTTCCACTCCCTCGCCATCCCCCACGGCCGTGTGCGCACCAGCAGCGTGTTTGTTCCCGACGATGGCTATTCAGTCGACTGAGAAACAAAATCCCGTCCATGCTCTCTGTCCGCCTGTTTCTCCCCTGCCAGGTGGTTGAAGCCTTGGTGGCATTTCACTCCCTCGGCATCCCCCACGGCCGTGTGCGCACCAGCAGCGTCTTTGTTCCCGACGATGGCGTGGTGAAGCTGGCTGGGACCTCGTTCCTGGATGGAGAAGGGGAGGGAGGGGAGGGCGGGGAGGAGAGAGAGGGGGGAAAGGAGGAGGGAGGGGAGGGGAGAGAGGAGGGAGGGGAAGAGGGGAGGAGAGGAAGCAAGGTGCCGTGGTGCTCTCCTGAGGAAATCAGAAAGGTGAGGACTCCATTCGTCTGCTGCCTCTGTTTTTTGAGAATTCTAAAAAACAGATCCCTCCTGAGGAGATCAGAAAGGTGAGGGTTCCATTCGTCTGCTGCCTTGAGCGTGCTCCTGTTCTGCTAATGTGCAGTCTAAGCCAGTTCATGTGCTATTATGCAGGATCAGCTGCTCTTCTGCTGTTCTGCTGCCCTGCTCTTCTGCTGTTCTACTGCCCTGCTCTTCTGCTGTTCTACTGCCCTGCTCTTCTGCTGTTCTGCTGCCCTGCTCTTCTGCTGTTCTGCTGCCCTGCTCTTCTGCTGTTCTGCTGTTCGGCTGCTCTTATGCTCTGCTCTTCCAGCTCTTGTTCTCCATGCGCTGCCTATTCTTCCTTCCCACACGCTCCTTCCCTCTTTCCTCATCCCCCCCATGCTCTCCAACCCCCGCACCCTTTCCTTACCCACATCTGTTCCCCCAATACCGCATCTGCCAAGCAGGAGACAGTGGGAGAAGCAGCAGACATATGGGCAGTGGGCTGTCTGGCAGTGCACATGGCAACAGGAGCATTACCATGGGCGCAAGTGGGGGACGAGGAGCAAGTGAGGCTCTTCATAGCGCACAGCAGGGCTCTGCCTGACCTGCCGCCCGACTCCTCGCCGCAGCTCATTGATTTTGTCGCAACCTGTTTGGACCGGGATCCGTCGCGCCGCCCGACAGCCGCCCGGCTCGTTGACCATCCTTTCCTGGCAGCATGCTTATGAAACACTTCATTGTACACCCTTTTTTTTTGTTGAAGGTGCGTGTTTTCTCTGCGCTGCTAAGCAGGGTTCTACTAAGTACTACTGGCTTGAAATTTTTTGAGGGGGAGAGGAGTGGCTGGCTGGCTGTTCTTCACCTCCTTGTACAGGAGCTGTGCAGTTTTGTGGTTCAGTGTTTAGACTTATGAAACAATATGTAAATGGCCGCTCTTTCTTTGCCTCTTGTTATCTATGTACAATAGCTGATCTGAAAATTTCTGTTAGTAGTACACTCACAAGAACACAATGATACAACTCATTATTGGTGGATAACCAAACGGGGTAGTCTGTCCTTATTACAACCAACGAGTACCTCTTCAACGCTGTCGTATCCCGGAACCTCACTGCCACATCACTCGAGCGAGTTTTTCGCATGCAGGGCAAGTGACTCGGCGTGCGAAATTCGTGTATTTCGCGGGGTGGCGAGCATGATGAGTCGAGTCAGCAGATCGTAGGTCGCTGCCTCTGGCATCGACGCAGGGTGTTCTTGTAACGAGCGGCATTTATCCAAACATCTCCATCTCCCTCTTGTTCTTTGCGAACATTTCAAGGGTTTTGACATTAGCGCAAGGTTCATCCCCGTGTGACTCCTGGGCGATTCTTCGCGACGTATTTGCCTGCGACTGTCGCAAGTGCTGCTGACGCCCAGCGCATCACGCTCTTTCGAGATTGTCCCGCTGCAAGCACTTTCGGCGTCGCTACAAGCTGTCGCTTGCTCTTGGGAAGATTGGCGTCGCAGCTTCGCAATATTATCGCCATCCGCGCACCAGACTCCGAGGCTGCGAAAGCTGCAGTCGCCGCTGTCGTTGCCTCTGCCGCTGCTGCAGCAACTCTCTTCTGCAAAAACGTCGCAGGGAATGCGATAAATACTCGTAACGTGTCGCACGGAAGTCGCAATATTCTCGCCTGTGCGACGGTTGGCGATCTCATCCTTGGCGGTTGAGTCAGCAGCCCTTGCAGGTATCCCGTTGCAACGGCCGCTACTCAAGCAGCTCACACGCGCGTCGCCCTCGCCTGGCGACGGCTTTGGGTCGCAAGCGTCGTTCGTGTCATCGTACGATATGATGGCGTCAATATCTATGTCGTCAGGCAACCACGGCGACGAATTCTCCGGCCCCTTGAGACCCGCGTCGCAGTGGGGTCTGCTCAGCAACGGGCTGCTGGAAAGCATGGTTGCCGCTTTAGAAACAGACTTTCGTCAATAAAATGGAAAGGAAAGACTCGCTTTTGAAGAGCACGAACATTAGTATGCGAGATGTTATCAATAAGCGCCTGTCCAGCAGTGTGGAAGAAAAGACTTAACGTTGTGTGTGTTGTTGGCTGTCAATGAAACGGAAGACTGAAGGACCGAAGGACAGAATGCCAGACCACGAGTGACTTCCCATTTTTCCGAGCCAAGAATGGAGGGAGAGACACAGACTGAAGAATCGCAGCGCGCACAATCCAAGGCTTGTTGGTCCTATGACTGATATTTTTATGGGAAAATATATCCCAGATCCTTACTTTCAGATTTCTCTCATATTTACCCCCAGGTTTACCCAAATAGTCCAGCTTTGCGGAATTCTGCTCACGCGAGGCCCAAAGTATGTTCAAAACTGGTCCTGCGGGGCAAGACAAAATTTCGACACGTGTCCATTTCGTACCAATTTTTTTTTGACGGGGCAAACAAAACATAATACCCTTAGGGAAACAGGACACATTTCGGGAGGGATCAACCCTAAACACCGGGCGGGTTCCCGTGTTTAGGGTTGATCCCTCCCGAAATGTGTCCCGTTTCCCTAGGGGTATTATATTTTTTGTGCCCCGTCAAAAATTGTTGGTGTGAAATAGACACGTGTCGAGATTTAAACCCCGCAGGACCAGTTTTGAACATAATTTGGGCCTCGCGTGAGCCAAATCCCAGAAAGTGGGACTTTTTGAGTAAACTTGTGGGTAAATATGAGAGAAATCTGAAAGTAAGGATCTAGGATATAGTTTCCCTATTTTTATCGACATCTCGCCAAAACTCCAATTTGCGCAGGTGCCTAAAATGGAAGCAAGTAGGGAATGCCAGAGGCGGGATGGTGGTTCTGTTAAATTGTAATGTGTTATATGTTGGTAGGCTGTAGTGGGGTAGCCAATATGGGGTACAACCCCAACTAGGGTTTCATATTTGTACCCAATCTTCTCCTAGTTCATTCATTCTTGCCTAGTGATTCTGATATGGTATTCAGAGCAGGAGGTCCCTAGGACCTACCGACCGTTTTTTTAGGGCCCACCACCGCTCGCATGCGGTTACCACGCTACCCCGTGCCCTAGCCTCGTAGCGCCCTCGTGCGCCCTCGTTAGCGCCCTCGCGCGCCCCTCGTTAGCGCCCTCGCGCGCCCCTCGTTAGCGCCCTCGCGCGCCCCTCATTAGCGCCCTCGCGCGCCCCTTGCTAGCGCCCTCGCGCGCCCCTCGCTAGCGCCCTCGCGCGCCCCTCGCAGCGTCGCCCGCCCGCCGAGCCGCCCGCTCGCAGCGTCGCCCGTCCGCCACGCTGCCCGCTCGCCCCTCGCCCGCCTCGCAGCCCGCTCGCCCCGCTGCCCGCTTCGCAGCCCGCCCGCCCGCTCGCTGCCCGCTTCGCGGCCCGCCCGCTTCGCTGCCCGCTCGCAGCGCCGCCCGCCCGCCCGCTACCTGCTTCGCAGCGTCGCCCGCCCGCTTGCTGCCCGCTCGCAGCGTCGCCCGCCCGCCCGCTGCCCGCTTCGCAGCGTCGCCCGCTCGCTCGCTGCCCGCTCGCAGCGTCGCCCGCCCGCCCGCTGCTCGCTCGCCGCGTCGCCCTCCCGCCTCGCTGCCCGCTTGCAGCGTCGCCCGCCCGCCCGCTGCCCGCTTGCAGCGTCGCCCGCCCGCCCGCTGCCCGCTTCGCAGCCGCCCGCCGCGCTGCCCGCTCGCCGCGTCGCCCGCCCGCCGCGCTGCCCGCCTCGTCTGCTGCTGCCGCTGCTCTGCTGTGCCCTCACGCCTGAGCTATGGCCTCTATTCGCGTTCTTTCCTTCGATGCTGAGGGCCGTCCCGTGCAGTTCACTTCCTGGCTCGACGACCTGCAGTTGTATCTTATGAGCAATAGCACGGACCACATCTCCCTCTATGACTACGCGTCTGGTGCTGCCGCTGCTCCTGCTGCCACAGCCGAGCTTAGTGTACGTTCACAGTGGCAGACTCGTGACGCTGCAGCTCGCCTGGCTATTCGCAGTCACCTGCCGTTACCTGAGCTAGAGCACTTTGGCGACTGCAAATCCGCTAAGGCCCTGTACGACGCTGTCGTTGCTCGCTACTCCTCACCGGCCACAGCTGAGCTTAGCCGCCTCATGCTGCCTTACCTGTTCCCTGAGCTGTCCACCTTTGCTACAGTCGCCGATCTTATCACCCACCTTCGCACTAGTGACGCTCGCCTGCGTGCCGCCCTTCCCACTGAGTTCTGCGCTAAGAACCCCCCTCCACTGTACTGGACACTCCACTTCATAGTCACCCGTCTCCCTGACACCCTCAGCTCAGTGCGCGACTATTTCCTTGCTCGCTGTCCCACTGAGCTCACTGTCGCCCTCCTAGAGGAGAAGCTGCTAGCAGCCGAGAAGAGCATTGTAGCTGTAGGTGCTGCTCGCGGCGCTCCTCGCACCCCCATCTTTGAGGGATGCTCTCCCTCTCCCCTCGCTCCCTCCTATGCTACTGCTGCTGCTGTTGACTTCCTTGGTGCTGAGACTGCTGGCGCTGCTTCTGCTCCTGGTGGGAGGCGCCGCACCGGCAAGGGCAAGGGGGGCAAGGGTGGCGGGGGTGGCGCTGGGGGGGGAGGGGGTGGGGGAGGTGGGGGGGGAGGCGGTGCTGGAGGGAGCGGTGGCGGGAGTGCCGGTGGGAGTGGGGCCGGCGGCGGAGGCGGGGGCGGCGGCGGGAGCAGTGGCGGTGGTGGCAGCGGCGGCAGTGGCGGCGGTGGCGGTAGTGGCGGTGGCGGTGGCGGTGGTGGCGGTCGGAGCGGAGGTAGTGGCGGCGGTGGAGGTCGGAGTGGAGGCACAGGCTCGGGCCAGAGCTCCCAGCAGCAGCAGCGTCCCCAGTCGACCCAGCAGCTTCGTGAGTGGCTTGCTCAGCGTGGGACGTCGGGGGGCAGTGGCCGCTGTTCCTATGTCATTCGCACAGGTGATCGCAAGGGGCAGACGTGTGGAAAGTTCCACACTCAGTACCGCTGCTTCTTCCGCCTTGACGACGCTTGGCGTGAGGAGATGGGCGAGGATGTTGAGCGCCCTCGCTGGGCTGAGCTGATGAGGGCTGGGGTTGATATCTTTGCTCTTGACTATGATGCTATTATTGCTGCCATGTATGCATTGACTGTTAGTGCCGAGGGAGACTGTTACTTGTGTGTGCCGCCTGACCCAGGTATAGGGCCCGCTGCCCTAGGTACTCGTGAGTCTGCTCTCTCTGGTATGGTGCCCCCTGTACCTGCTCCCTCCAGCACTGTCCCTGCTACTTGCGAGTCTGCTCTCTCAGGTACAGCACCCACAGAGACTGCTCTCTCAGGTACTGCACCGGCTGAGCCCTGTCACACCTTCACCCTTGACTCAGGTGCTTCCCGCTGCTTCTTTCGAGACAGTACTGAGCTCACACCGCTTCCTGCACCGGTCCCAGTCTCCTTGGCTGACCCCTCTGGGGGCCCGGTCCTTGCCCGGTCCACCACTGTGCTCCCTTGTCCGGCGGTTCCGTCTGGCTCGTTGACGGGTTTCCACCTCCCCTCGTTCTCGACGAACCTGGTGAGCAACGCTGTCATCCAGGATCAGTGGGTTGACACCTTTACCCCTGGAGGACAGCGTGTGGCGATCTGCACGTGCTCCAGGACCGGCCGTCACCTGGCTACGTTTACTCGTCGGCCGGGGTCGAGTCTCTACACACTGACCACTGCGTCTCCTCAGGTCGCTGCTGTCGGTCAGGTGTCCGCGTCAGGTCTGGTAGCCCACGCCTGTGAGTGTCGTTCCCTGTCGCACCAGACTCTTCTCTGGCACCACCGCCTGGGTCACCCCTCCTTGCCACGCCTCCGTGGCATGCACCGTCGCCACCTTGTGTCTGGTCTTCCCAGGTCCCTCCCTCCTCTCCCTTCCTCGCCTGCGCCGCCTTGCCTTCCTTGCGTCGAGGGGCGGCAGCGCGCCGCTCCTCACTCCTCCTCGTTCCCCCCGACAGAGGCTCCTCTGCAGACCCTCCACCTGGACGTGTGGGGCCCAGCCCGCGTTCGTGGTCAGGGCGGTGAGCGGTACTTTTTGCTGGTTGTCGACGACTACTCGCGTTACACCACGGTCTTCCCCTTGCGCACCAAGGGTGAGGTCCCTGCTGTTCTGATCCCTTGGATCCGCACAGTTCGTCTCCAGCTCCGCCGCCGTTTCCGGACGGATCTTCCTGTCCTGCGTCTGCACTCTGACAGAGGTGGTGAGTTTTCCTCCGACCTCTTGAGGACCTTCTGTCAGGCGGAGGGCATCGAGCAGACCTTCACGCTTCCGGACTCCCCACAGCAGAATGGGGTTGCTGAGCGCCGCATTGGCCTGGTCATGGAGGTCGCTCGTACCTCCTTGGTCCACGCGGCGGCTCCCCATTTTCTGTGGCCGTTTGCTGTCCGGTACGCCGCGCATCAGCTCAACCTCTGGCCCCGTGTCTCCTTGCCGGAGACCTCGCCCACACTGCGTCGCCGCGCATCAGCTCAACCTCTGGCCCTGTGTCTCCTTGCCGGAGACCTTGGACGGGAGAGGTTGGCGATGCGTCGCGCTTCCGGGTGTGGGGTGCTCGTGCCCTTGTCCGCGATACGTCCGCGGACAAGCTCTCCTCCCGCACACTTCCCTGTGTCTTCCTTGGCTTTGTCCCTGACGCGCCGGGCTGGCAGTTTTACCACCCCACCTCGCGCCGGGTCTTCGCCTCTCAGGACGTCACCTTTGACGAGTCGGTCCCTTTTTACCGTCTCTTCCCCTACCGTACTGCCCCCCTCCCTCCCCCGCCGCTTTTCCTTGCTCCTGGTCCCCCTCCGGTAGACCCCCTTCCCCCTCAGGGTCCTGCTCCTTCAGGTGTCTCTCAGGTAGACCCTCCTCCCGTCGCTGAGCCTGTCGAGGTCACAGGTGACTCAGGTGCTGCTGGGAGTGCTGAGCCTGCGGGTGCTGGGCCTGGGGGTGCTGGGACTACGGGTGCTGGAGCTGAGGGTACTGTGCCTGGGAGTTCGGCGCCTGGGGGTGCTGAGCCTGGGGGTGCTGCGACTGGGGGTGCTGAGCCGGCGTGTGCGGAGTCTGGGGGTGCTGAGTCTGGGGGTGCTGCGCCTGCGGGTACTGAGCCTGGGGGTGCTGCTGCTGAGCCTACGGAGCCTCGGGTTGCTGCGTCTGGGGGTGCTCCGGTTCGGGGTGCTGAGCAGTCTCTCACACCGCAGCAGCTTCGTGACTGGTACGTCCGGCGCTTTCGCCGTCCTGGTGGCTCGGCTGGAGCTGGGGGTACTGGAGCTGCCGGGACTGGCTGTTCTGGGAGCACTACGACTGGAGCTGCTGGAGCTGGGGACTCTGGAGCTGGCGGCGCTAGCGGAGTTGTAGCTGCGGACCCTGGGGGTGGTGCTGCTGCTGGTGCTGCGGACCCACCTGGTGGAGCTGCTGCTGGAGCTGAGGACCCGAGCGGTGGCGCTGCTGCTGGTGCTGGGGACCCGGACGCTGGAGTCTCTTCTGCTTCTGGAGCCGCTGCGCGGCCGCGGCCGTACTTCGTACCGCTCCTTCAGCAGGTTCTTGGACAGGCTCCTCCTCCTTGTCCTCCTCCCTCCGTAGAGTGTCCTCCGACTGTCCAGCCGCAGTCACAGTTACCGCCTGCCTCGCCTCTCCCTGCTCCCTCTCCTTACACTGGTCCCACAGGAGGTCTTACAGAGCGTCGTGAGCCTGAGTCTCGTCCTGCGTCGCCTGTCCGTACTGCTCGCACTGGTCGTCGTGTCCGTCGTGAGCGTCCTCCTCCTGTCCCCGGCACTCACTACATGACTCTGCGTCCCTCTACTGCTCCTCAGCGTGTCCCTCTACCGTCTCCTCCTGCGTCCTCTTTGCCTGCTGTTCCGGACCCTGAGTCTGACCGGTATCGTGCTGAGCACCCTACTGTCACGCGTCTCCTAGCTACTGTTGTCACTGACCCTACCTTTGAGTCCTCGGCTGCGTCTGCTCTGGTCGCTGAGTTGGTTGACTTTGCTGCTGCCTGTCGTCTAGACTACGCTGCTAGCCTGGTTGCTGAGTCTGAGTCTGCGTCTGTCTGTCCTCCGTCCGTCGGGGGTGAGTGTGCTCTTGGCACGGACGTCCTTGAGGACAGGCAGGAGGACTTTGACTCTCTCGCGGCTGCTGTACCTCATCTCGTGGCCTGGTTGCTTGCCCCTGAGGGAGACCCGGATGCACTAGACATCCCCACTCCGCGCACTTACGCAGAGGCGATCTCGGGTCCCTACTCCTCTCAGTGGCAGACAGCCATGGACGCAGAGATGGCATCCTGGAAGTCCACAGGCACCTACGTCGACGACGTTCCCCCTCCTGGGGCGAACATCGTCGATGGCATGTGGATTTTCAGGGTGAAGCGGCCGCCAGGTTCTCCGCCTGTCTTCAAGGCTCGTTACGTTGCTAGAGGCTTCAGTCAGCGTCAGGGGGTTGACTTCTTCCAGACCTTTTCCCCCACCCCGAAGATGACCACTCTTCGGGTTCTGCTGCACGTTGCTGCTCAGCGTGACTACGAGCTTCACTCTCTTGACTTCAGCACAGCGTTCCTGCAGGGCAGCCTGCACGAGGAGATCTGGCTGCGCCGCCCACCTGGCTTTACTGGGTCGTTTCCTCCTGGTACCCAGTGGAGCCTCCGCCGGCCAGTCTACGGTCTCCGCCAGGCGCCACGTGAGTGGCACGACACACTGAGGACTACACTTGCGGCTCTTGGGTTCGCGCCGTCTACTGCTGACCCGTCGCTGTTTCTGCGCACAGACACGTCGCTGCCGCCGTTCTACATTCTCGTGTACGTCGACGACTTAGTCTTTGCTACTGCTGACACTGAGGCACTCGCTCGTGTGAAGTCGGAGCTGCAGAAGAGACACACCTGCACTGACCTGGGTGAACTGCGTAGCTACCTTGGCTTGCAGATCACCCGGGACAGAGCTCGCCGCACCATCACCCTGACTCAGTCACACATGGTGCAGCAGGTCCTTCAGCGCTTCGGCTTCCAGTTCTCCTCACCACAGGCCACACCTCTGGCTACCAGCCACTCGCTCTCAGCTCCACCTTCGGACGAGTCCGTAGAGCCGAGTGGCCCGTACCCAGAGCTTGTAGGCTGCCTCATGTACCTGATGACTTGCACGCGACCTGACCTCGCGTACCCTCTTAGCATCCTTGCTCGTTACGTTGCGCCTGGGAGACACAGGCGAGAGCACTGGGAGGCTGCTAAGAGGGTGCTGCGTTACTTGTGCAGTACATCAGGCATGGGGCTGGTGCTTGGAGGACACGACAGAGTTGTTCTCACTGGTCACTCGGACGCTTCTTGGGTGGACGACTTGGCTACGCAGCGGTCGTCACAGGGTTACACCTTCAGCCTTGGCTCTGGTTCTGTCTCGTGGCGGTCCACCCGTTCTTCTTCTGTTCTCAGCTCTAGTTGTGAGGCTGAGATCTACGCCACGGCCATGGCTGCACAGGAGTTACGCTGGCTCACCTACCTGCTGACTGACTTGGGAGAGCGGCCTAGTTCTCCTCCAGTTCTGTACGGCGACAACAAGGCGGCCCTTGCCTTGTGTCAGGAGCACAGACTGGAGCACAGGACGAAGCACATTGCTCTTCGCTACTTTCTTGCTCGAGAGCTGCAGCAGCGAGGTCAGCTTCGGCTTGTGTACGTGGACTCGAAGGCCAACACTGCTGATATCTTCACCAAGGCGCTCCCGCCTAGTGATCATCAGCGGCACTGTACTTCTTTAGGCCTTGTGTCCACGTTTCCTCACTTGCTCACTGCTTGACATTCTTTGTACTGTACTTTATATATATCTTGTTGTTTGTCTTGTACTATATCTAGCACTGCATGTGAACTGGCCTTGTGGCCTTTGATTGTGCTCGGAGTGTGGTGACTTTGTGATCCACCCTGGGCTTGTGTTGCTTTGCTGGACTGGTCTTGTGACCCTTTGTTCTCCCCCACTTTGCCTATGGGGGTGTGTTAAATTGTAATGTGTTTTATGTTGGTAGGCTGTAGTGGGGTAGCCAATATGGGGTACAACCCCAACTAGGGTTTCATATTTGTACCCAATCTTCTCCTGATTCATTCATTCTTGCCTAGTGATTCTGATAGGTTCAAACTGGAACCTTGCTTGTGCGGCCATTTTCAGGTGCATGCAGCTTAGTCGAGGCGCGTTATTCAGGTGCATGCCAGGTTGCTTACACTTTTCTCAGGTTAAAAAATGTCTCTCGTAAATTAACACGCAGTTCAAGATTCGATTAAAATTGGCACAAAAGGTCTGAAATAGATGCAATTTCGGGCTACGCAAATTGGAATCGGAATGGTTGGCTCTCGATGCTGCATTTTCTGACGTAACTCAGTGCAATGATTGCATTTTGTCCAATTTATACGCAAATTTCTGCTTTGCACCAACTCATTTCGAACGAATCTAATGCTAGATCTGTTGTACTTTTGACGCAGATGACGGACGCTGCGCATGGCAAATCAGCAAACCCTTCGTGAGTGTTTGTATATTTTGCCTCTACCAAACTAAGTTAACCGTACGTGCATATTGAAATAGGTGGTATTCAACGGCCTTAATTACGTGGCATTAAATATACATGTAACATACGATATATCCTTAATAGCGGTAGGGGTAACTCACTCTTGTCAAATGTTGTAGCCTATAGTGAGGTTTGTCTTAGGGGGTACAAAACTTAGGGTTAGCTATATGTACCCCAACCAACATCAATGCATCATCCATTCTTCATTTTGACATGGTATCAGGCTAGCCCTCCCCCTTCGGTAGCCCCCCCTGTACAGCCTCCCTCCCCACAGTCTTCCTCGCCGCCTCCTGCAGGTGCTCCCTCTCGAGAGGTTGGTCCTGCGACTGTCCCTGTACAGGTCTCTGGTTCTGGGGGTGCTGGAGTTGGAGCTGAGCCGCGGGTTGCAGAGGACTCTTGTCTTCCGGGGGCTGGTACTGGTCGTGCGGAGTCTGGGGGTGCTGGTGCGGAGTCTGGGGGTGCTGCGTCTGGGGGTGAGGGTGTCCCTTCGGTTTCTGGAGAGCCTGGGTCTGGAGCTGGTGTTGGTGCTGCCTCTGGGGGTGGTGTGCTTGGTGCTTCGGAGGTCGACTCTGGGGCTGCCGCTGCCCCGGACACTACTCCTTCCCCCCACCCCTACCCGACCAGGTTCCAGGCTCGTGTTCGCCGTGCTCGTGAGGAGCAGCTGGAGTTGGAGAGAGAGGAGAGAGAGTTGCAGCGGCTCGAGGAGCAGGAGCGACAGCAGCAGGAGCAGCAGCAGGAGCAGCAGCAGAGGCAGCAGCCGCTGGAGCAGCAGCAGCCGCAGCAGCCGCAGCAGCAGCAGCAGCAGCTGCTGCCGTCTCCTCCTCCTGTCTCGGGTCTTCGGACCCTTGGTCTCCCGTCTCCCTCTCCTTCCTCCTCCCCCTCTCCTCCCGTCTCTGGTCCTCCGCTTCCTCCTCCTGACCCCTCTCCCGCTGTTTTCCCTCGTTCTCAGTCTTCGTTGTCTCCTCCTCCTTCTCAGACTTGGGCCTCTCGTCGCTCCCCTCGTGCTCGTCCCTCGTCTCCTGTTCCCTTCACTGACCTTCGTACAGCCTTCCTTTGTTCTCGTCCACCTCGTCCGTCTCCGTCTGTGCTTCCGTCTCCTCCTGAGTCGGCCCTCACTGTGTCGCTTCCTTCTCCTGTCACTGACTACTACCGCACGTACCGTCCTGTTCTCTCTCGTGTTCTCGCCTCTCTTGTTACCCACCCTCGTGCCTCTGTGTCCTCTGTGTCCGCTCTTACTGCCGCAGTCACTGAGTTTGCCTCTACCCGCCGCCTTGACTTCGCCACCGCTCTTGTGGCTGCTCCTCCTTCCAGTCCTCTGGCCGTCGGGGGTG